TGTCTGTAGAGCTGAGGCCACTCATGCTGTGGATGGCCAACACCACGGAGCTGCTGAGCTTTGTGCAGGAGAAAGTGCTGGAGATGGAGAAGGAGGCTGACCAGGAGGGTGAGCTCTGACCCAAGCCCAGACCTGTCCAAGCCCCCTGTCATTCCTGCTACTTGGGGACTTGGGCTCCTGCCTGTCAGCCTCTGGTTCTCTCTCTCACCCCCAGGTCTGTCCTCAGACCCACAGCTCTGCAATGACTTGGAATTATGTGATGAGGCCATGGCCCTCCTGGACGAGGTCATCATGTGTACCTTCCAGCAGTCTGTCTACTACCTCACCAAGGTTGGTCTCACCCCCGACTTCCTGTTTGACATAATCTCACTTCCGGTTGGAATGACGTCACATCGCTCCGATGTCACTTCCTATTTGACCTTGTAAGATTCCCTGCTTCTCTGACATCACTTCCCATTCACGGCAGCACTTTGCTGTTCTGGTACCACTTCCTGTTTGAGCCTACATCACTTCCTGTCTTTCTGGCTTCTCTTCCTGTCTCTGCAACGATCCCCCTCTTGACAGGCTGACTTTACTATCTGGTTATATCACCATTTTCACTTTTTTAAGCTCCTGTTTTCTAAGTCCACTGGTAAATTTAATAGGTGGGTAGATAGATAGATAGGGATCAAATAGTGCCGGACACTGTCATTTAAATGAAAGGTCCTCTTGAATCCGACCTCACTTCCTGTGTTTGCTGACTTCATTTCCTACAGCTCGGAATTCACTCCCTTTTCCGAGCCACAGATCTTCTCCCTGGAGTGCTTTCTGCCCCAGTGCCCCACCACCCTTGACCTTAAGATGGTTGCTTGGAATTCACAGGTTTTCAGGCTTCTCGTGGGCCTGAGTCCCTATCTGTAACAGCAAAGGGGATCTTTGGGGAGATTCTTTATGTTCCTTAAGCAGCCTTGATTGGTGAAGCCCATTCCTCCAAGGCTTCGCTTCCTGTCCATCCCTGCCAAGTGTGGCTTTATTTCTTCTTCGGCTCTGACCTCATTTCCTGTCCTTGGCCTGATCTCACTTTCCACTGGCTCACTGCCACTCCACTCCCACTTCCTGACTCTTCATTCTTTCTTCTTTCCTTCGGGAACTCTGGATAAATAATTCTTTGACTGAAGGGGGCCTCTTTGTTCAGTATCCTTTGTCCTCTGTGAGTTGTCTCTGTCTCTGTTGAGAACTACAAGACCTATGAGGCACCGAGGTGGTTGTAAAATACCCAGGAAACTCCTGGAGGCTTTCTTAAGACTTGAGGTGTCCTCGGCCTGATGCATGCTAGACACCCATCTGGAAAGTAGGGATTTGCTCACAGAGAACTTTTAGGGTGTTGCAGGTACAATGGACTATAATTCCCAGAAGCTCTGTCACCCTGAAGCTTCCATGGAGTGTAGTCCAATCACTTGTTTGCATCTCTGTATCCTCTTAGACTCTGTATTCAACGCTGCCTGCTCTCCTGGATAGTAACCCTTTCACAGCTGGGGCAGAGCTGCCAGGGCCTGGAGCAGAGCTGGGGGCCATGCCTCCGGGCTTGAGACCGACGCTGGGCGTGTTCCAGGCAGCCCTGGAACTGACCAGCCAGTGTGAGCTGCACCCGGACCTCGTGTCTCAGACTTTCGGTTATTTGTTCTTCTTCTCCAATGCGTCCCTTCTCAACTCGCTGATGGAACGAGGTGAGGGTTGGACTGGGGAAGGGACAGGGAGGAAAGCATGGGAACCTCTGAGACCCATGTCAATTCAGACAGCATGCCCCAGGATCAGGTCTCATGTTTAGGGACTCTGGAGAACAAGTTCCAGATCCCAAGTTGAAGGATAGGAAGGGTCTGGGAGGCAGGAGGGCTGAGTCCACATGCTCATTGCCCGTCATACCTTTCCCCCAACAGGTCAAGGCCGGCCTTTCTATCAATGGTCCCGAGCTGTCCAAATCCGAACCAACTTGGACCTTGTCTTGGACTGGCTGCAGGGGGCCGGGCTGGGTGACATTGCCACTGAATTCTTCCGGAAACTCTCCATAGCTGTGAACCTGCTCTGCGTGCCCCGCACTTCCCTGCTCAAGGTGACTCCTGATCCCTGACCTCTGACTCCTCGACCCCACTCAGCCATCCTCTGTATTCAGCTCACCCTTGGATCTCCCCTTGGACTTCATGTTATCCCCGGTCCCAGCTCTGACACTGTGGATGATGTATTGACAGTTAGAAGGAAGTCAGCCACAAGTGTCCAAACTGCATCTGAATCCCATGGGACTTATTAATAATAGATTCCAAGGCCTCCACCCTCAGACATGCTGATTCAGAAAGTCTGCTATGAGACCAAGGAATGTGATAGTGAGAACATGCATTGAACATAAACAACATGCCAGATGCGGTCTAGCACTCTCACTGAATGTTGACTAAGCCTCATGAAATAGGTTATTAATTGACAATTCTTTTCAGACAAGGAGACTGAAAATCAGGTAGGATAAGTTACTTGATTTCATTTATTTATATTTATCAAACTTTTACAGAGCATTTAATAAGCACCAGGCAGTGTCCTAAGTCTTTACAATCTAGCCATATTGAATCCTCATAACTACCCTGTTAGTTCTATTCCCACCCACACCCAATTGACAGATGAAGAAAGTGAGGCACAGGGGCACCTGGGTGGCTCAGTTGTTAAGTGTCTGACTTCAGCTCAGGTCATGATCCTGGAGTCCTGGGATTGAGCCCCACATCAGGCTGCCTATTCAGCGGGAAGCCTGCTTCTCCCTCTCCCTCTGCCTGGGTTCCCTCTCTAGCTGTCTCTCTGTCAAATAAATAAATAAAATCTTAAAAACAAAAAAAGTGAGGGGCGCCTGGGTGGCTCAGTCATTAAGCGTCTGCCTTCGGCTCAGGTCATGATCCCAGGGTGCTGGGATCGAGCCCCGCATCAGGCTCCCTGCTCGGCGGGAAGCCTGCTTCTCCCTCTCCTGCTCCCCCTACTTGTGTTCCCTCTCTCGCTGTGTCTCTCTCTGTCAAATAAAAAAACAAAATCTTAAAAAAAAAAAAAAGTGAGGCACAGTGACTTGCCAGAAAGTAATGAGTAGTCAAGCTGGGATTTTTGAACCCAGGCATTCTGGGTCCAGAGTCTCTGGTTTTCACCCCACGGATGATTCAGATGTCATCTCAGGTGTAGAAATTTTCAGATACAAAAAATAGCCACAGTGCAGTAATGGAGCTCTAGGTACACATCATCAGCTTCAATAATAAACTAATGGCCAATTTTGTTTCTTTTCCACCCCCCCACCAACTCCTACATCCTCATTTATGCTGAAGCAAATCACATTTTAAAAAAGATTTTATTTATTTATTAGAGAGAGAGACAGCGAGAGGGAACACAAGCAGGGGGGGTGGGAGAGGGAGAAGAGGGAGAAGCAGACTCCCTGCTGAGCAGGGAGCCCAATGCGGGGCTCAATCCCAGGACCCTGGGATCATGACCTGAGCCGACGGCAGACCTGAGCCACCCAGGCGCCCCCAATTAACATTTTTTTAAAGCGCCCTTTCCCACCATCTCTTTGGTTGACAGCCTGGCCTCACAGTGTCCGGAAGATATTGCACAGACACCACTGTCTACCCACTACATCCATGCCCTTTATGGAGGGCCTTCCGTTTTAGGATTTCTCAGCTGCCCCATAATGACCATAGATTTCTCACCTGATCGTCCCACCAGGCTTCATGGAGCAGCCTACGAACTGACCACCCCACACTGACCCCTGCTCAGCTCCACCATCTGCTCAGCCACTACCAGCTGGGTCCTGGCCGTGGGCCACCACCTGCCTGGGACCCCCCCACTGCAGAGCGAGATGCTGTGGACACAGGTGAGGAGAGATGGGGACAGAGGCACTGGGGCTGTCAGCTTTTTTTTTGTTTGTTTGTTCTCAGTACCCAGGATTCCACAGTCCCAGCGCCTTCCTCCTTCTGACCCGGGATTCTGGACCCTTAACCCTCTCCTCCCTCAAGCCTTAAGTGATGGACCCCAACTCCCCCCTCCCCCAGGGTACAGGAGTTCACGCCCCAGCTCCTTTCTTCCCCAGGGTTCAGGCCCCCAGCCTCTTCCCGGGACAACCAACCCTCCTCACCCAGGAGTTCGGGTTCCAGCCCCCTCCACTCTAAGGAATCCGTAAAACTAAGTTCCCAGACCTGCCTTCCTCACGGGCCCAAGAGCCCAATGCCTCGCCCGTTTCCCAGGCAACGGTGGCCTTTCTTTGTCTGAAACTACAACTCCATGATGCTTGGGGACTCCCGCGAGTCATGTTTGAGTGACTCCTGCTCCAGGATTTGCTGGGGGTTGAAGTTTTTCCCTCCTTCGGGCGTGACACAGCCTCTCCCCAACACTGCTGCCCCAGGCCCATTTTCAGAGTTTGACTCCGTCTTCTTCGGTCTCCTAGGGGACATCTTCGAAAGCTTCTCTTCCCATCCTCCCCTCATCCTGCCCTTGGGCAGCTCGCGCCTGCGCCTCACAGGTCCTGTGACAGACGACGCCCTGCACCGTGAACTGCGCAGGCTCCGCCGCCTCCTCTGGGATCTTGAGCAGCAGGAACTGCCGGCCAATCACCGCCACGGACCTCCCGTGGCCACGCCTCCTTGAAAACCAATAACAAACGAGCGCGCGAACCTTGAAAATTCTTCGGCTTCTACTCCCGGGAGCCCGCTCGAGCTCAGAGCTCTCTGGGAGTTGTAGTTCTTTCCCCGCGTGGGCTGCCGGGAGTTTGAGTTTTCGGGTAGTAGAAGATGGGACAGTGGGAAGATGGGCTTGGGATGTGAGCGCAAGGAGCAATAAAGGTATCTGTGGTATTGGCAACGCCTCACTTGTTAAGACTCGGGAACGCTGGTGATGATGATGATTTGCGGATTAGAGCACCAGGGTCCTCGACTAGAGCGTTGGGTTCTTGCCGAGTCCGAGGAGATATTTATAGCCTTGGCCTCAGCTTGCCCTGCGGCTTGTAATCCAAACCCGGAGCCCTGGGGCCTCCCACGAATTTCAGGACAGAGCTCTAAGCTTGCTCTGCCAAAAATCAGGCCCTCAGTCCTGCCGGTGGGAACCAGACTTCTCTCCCTTCGACCCCAAAGGCCAGAGTCCAGCCCTCTTCTCCCTCAGACCCGGGAGTCCAGGTCCTCAGCCCCCTCCTCCCTCGGATCCCGGAGTTCGGGGCTCCAGTTTGAACTTCTCCACTCCCCTAAATCCGACTCCTGCTGCTGCGTCAGGGAAAAAATAAGCGACAGGTGGCACCTGCCCGCAGGGCCGGGTCGCGACCACCTGCTCCCGCCGCTCACCCGGCGCCCCTCTCCAGGCACCTGCTTCTGTCAGTCCGCCCGCCGCTGCCCCGCCCGACCCCGCAGCCCCAGGACGCGGAGGAGGAGCGACCCAGGGAACCCCGACGTTCGCCCCGCCCCAGTCCCTCCCAGCCCGTGCTCCCGCCCCTTCTTAGGGTCCCAGGCGGGGCTCCTGTCTCCCCCCTCCCCCCCCGCCCCATTCCACAGGCTCCTGGCACGCCCTAGAAAGGGGTGTCCTAGGCGGTCCCAGGCTGGTGGGGCGGAGCCTGCGGCCTCCAGCCTAGACCAGGGGATTCAACCCGCTCCAGAGCACTGCTGCGCCGAGCCCACCTGGTGAGAAGCCCCTGGGATGGGGGTGGGGGGAACCCACCTTAACTCTTCTGTCACCTCTCTGGTCCCAGTCCCTTCCTCACAGACCATGGTGGCTGACGCCCACCCACTCCCCTCTCAAATGCAGGTGGCGGAGACCCTTCCCAATTCCCCAGGAACCTACCGGGTCCCTTTCCCCTCTTGATCAAGGGTGTTGGATTCTAGTCCCTTCAGAGTATTGAGCTCTATCCCTTCACCCTCTTTTCCTTCCTCTCTTTTCACAGGCCCAGGGGTCTCCTTTCATAGATCGCAGTCTTTCCTCCCCCAGGCTCCAGGAATTGGGGCCCTCAACCCCCTTCTCCCTCAAATCCAGGAGTGCGAGCTCCCAGCCCCTCTTCCCTCAGGCTCCAGAAGTTCTGGTTCAAGGCCTCTCCTATCCCTAAGCCCCTGAGGCCCTTTCCCTGCTGCCTTCACAGGGAGGGACAGCCTCCTGACCTCCACTCTGACCCTCCTCCGGTGGGGGCCCTGTCCTCCCCTCAGTCCAGGTCCCCATCACAGCCTTGGCAATGACTCTCGCAACTTCCTCTCAGCGCTCCCAAATCATTCGCTCCAAGTTCAGATCTGGTGAGAGGCTTCTCTCTATGCATGTAGGGAAGGGGTCTTCTGGGTCCTGGGATTGAAATACTCTTAACTCAGGCAGTGTGTGTGGTCGGTGAGATGGGAGGGGGGCCATGGGACCCACAAGGCAGGTGTTTTCTGTGCAAAAGATCACTTGTGTATAAAGGAGGCCCCAGCAAAGGGGTTGAATTTTGGGGGGCTCAATGAGGGTGCAAATGGCCAATGCAATGCTCCTGTAAACAGTGAGGAGTGGGTGGCGAGGGGTGGGTGTGCAGAGGGTCAGGTACTGCAAAGGAACAGGGGCTTAAATCGACATGTGTGCAAAGTGGAGGAGTGCACAGAGTAGGGACTTAGAAGTAGGCGGTGTGGGAGTGTTGGCGAGGGGACAGTGCGCTGTATCAAAACTTGAACGTGTCAAAGGTTGTATTTTAGGTCCCAATGCGGACCGAAAGCGTGCAAGTGAGTGTGGCACTGGATGTCAGTTCCTCAGTGGGCCAAGGGCATACGAGTGTGCAAATGAGTATGCTAGATGGGTGCAAAGACACCAGTCCCCAAAGAGCAGAGTGTGCCGGAGAGTGCACATGAAATGTGCAAAGAGAGATCTCTGCTCCAGAACTGGAAGCCAAATCCTGAATGTGCAAAGAAGTGTCAGTAAGGCTGGGTGGGTGCCAAGGATGAAGCATATCAAAGGGTCCGAGCGCACAAAAGTGGCGCAGGTGCCAGACCAGAGCCCAGGGAAATGCATGTGCAGAGGGGGTGAGTGTGGGGAGGCCTGGGGGTACCCCGAAGGGAGCAGGCTGGTGCAGACGGGAGCGCACGGACGAGAAGAGGTGAGGCACACATGGGTCAGTCTGCCAAGATGGCGATCATGCCTTGGGTGGGGTAGGCACGTGCTCATGAAGGGGGCAGGTGGAGCTGGGGGCAGGGCTGCCTCCTGCCTGCACACTGGCTGGCTCCTAGTCCCAGAACAGCTCTGGCAGGGAGCAGGGAGCAGGCGGGAGGCCCGGGAAAGGGAACAGGCTGCCGGCCCACCCGCCTGCATGGGGTGTGTAAGGGGGCTGGGCACGCGTGTCCTGCCAACTGCAGCTCGCACCGCCTGCCAGGCCGGGCTCTGGACACTCCCTTCCCGCCTTTCTCCTCCCACCTCCCTCCTTCCTCCATAGTCCTCCAGCTTCGGATCCACAGACGGTATCAGGACCCAAGTAAGTGTGGGCCCTGAAAGGGAGGGGATGGAGGCCCGACAACCCTGGGATGCCCAGGAGTGCAGCTACCAGATCTCAGGCACTGGTTCCTGAGCCTTGGCCCCTCTGCCTGGGACACCCTGAAGTCCTATCCTGTCCCGTCCTGAGGACCCGAGTACAGGTCCCTGGCTACCCCACCCCTCAAAGCTCTGCTTCCTGCCCTATGACTTTTCCCACTCCAAAAAAATGCATGAATCCAGATCCCATTTCTTCGGAGAAGACAGGCATCCCAGACTCCTCACTTGGCATGCACACGAATCTCAGGATGTGGCTTTCAGCTTCTCTCTCTCCTTAAGAACCAGGAGTGCTGGCCCCACCCCTGTTCCAGCAAAACCCCCTAAATCTTGGTGACTGAGGACGTGATTCCTGACTTTCTTGAGAATATAAAATTCTGGAACCTCTGCCCTGAGATCCAGGAGTCTGGGCACCCACCTCCTAACACTGGGGTTTCCCTCCCTGGTCCTGCCCTCCCACACCGGGAGGTGGGGGGGCGGCTGAGGCCTCCAGGTCCCTCCTTCCCACACAGTCTTGTTCCTCCCTGCCTGGCTTGCTGTCTACAGGCCTCTCAGGGTCCTTCACTGCCTCTCCAGTCTTGGATCCAGATCCGTGGGTCTCAGCGACAGACCCTGCTCTGGCCCCCAGGGCTCCGGCCCCAGTCTCGCCCTTGGGCCCCACCCCTTTCCTCCTCAGCCCTGGGGACCTGCTCCATGAATCAGAATACTGCCCTTGGAGGTCCCTGAAGGTGAGTCTCCATCGAGTGAGGAGAAATACCCCGGAGAGTCTAGCATTGGTCGTCCTTGCTACTGCCCTCTTGGCTCCTTTCTGGTGGTGCCAAGCTGAGGCTCTGGGGCAGGACAACGGGGACAGAGCCGAAACATATGACATCACACCTGCTTTTCCAGGAGTCTCCCAAGATCTCCCAACATTGGAGAGAGCCCAAGCCAAAGGGGAACTTGACCTACCACCAGTACATGCCCCCAGGGCGGAGACAAGGGTCCAGGGTAGACTCCCAGGCCAAAGGGTTGGCCTTGGGTCCCCCTGGACCACCTCTGTGGGAAGGGACAAACTCACAGCAGCCACCTCCCAGGTATGATCCCTGTTTTTGTTCTCTGGGGGGAAATTCAGCCCCCGCCCTCGCCCGCACATCCTCCTCCCTCAAACCCAGAGTCCAAGAGCAGGGGAGTACAGAGTCCAGCCCCCAACCCCTTCCTCCCCCAGGACTCCAGAGTCCAAGTTCCCAGTCCCTCTTCCTTCAGTTCCCAGGAGTCCTGGCTTCAGACCCGAGACACTGGGCCTCCGGTTCCTCCACTCCCACGCACAGGACTTAGCCTCTTCCGAGACCCAGAAGTCTGGGCCCTCTTTCCTCTTCGCAAGCCCCTGCCTTTGAGGACCCCGGAATGCCCCGTCTCTCTCCACCCCCTCTAACCTCTGGTTCCCCCTCACGCCTTGCCGCCAGGATGAAGCCCACTGCCCTCACTCCCTCCCCACCTGGAGTCCCCAGCCCCTCGCCCCCTCCACACAAGTTGGAACTTCAGACCCTTAAGCTGGAGGAGCTGACGGTGAGTGTGAGGAGTAACCTCCCAGGCTGGCCCTCTCCTTCGGTGGGTACCCATAGTTCTAACCCCGCCGCCTCTGCCCCATCGGAGACCCAGGAGCCTGGGTCCCCAGTCCCTCTCCTCGCGGTTTCCAAATGTCCAGCCCCAGCTCCCGCCTGCGCCCCGGAGCCCTCCCAGCAAGGCCTCTCCCCGCCTCCCACCCCAGGTCTCAGAGCTCCGGCAGCAGCTGCGCCTGCGGGGCCTCCCGGTGTCGGGGACTAAGTCGATGCTCCTGGAGCGCATGCGCGGCGGCGCCCTGCCCCGCGAGCGGCCGAAGCCGCGGCGCGAGGACTGTCCCGCGGGCGCTCCCTGGCCGCGCCTCAGGCCCAAAGCTCTGGGAGCCGTCCGGCGGCAGGGCTCGGTGAGGGCGGGGCTACGCGCGTATGGACCAGTGAGGAGAAGACAAAGCGGGACGGGGCGGGAAGTCGAAAGAAGACTAGCCAATGAAGTGTGGGGGCGTGGTTAAGAGCAAAGTGGGAGGCTCTTAAGGGAAGAGAAGCCAATGAAAGAATACGGGGCGATACCGAAGGGGGGTGGTCGACGAGCGAGCGGAGGGCCGGGAGGCGACCGGGGGGTGGAGCCACAGGTTGCGAGTGGGTGGGGTTGCTCCCGGCGGGCGTGGCTTATGGGAACTCCACGGTTCTAGCTCAAGCCGAGCCCAAACTCTCACCCTCCGCCTCCTGCAAGTGCCTCGGACACCCCTGCTACTGCTGCGGTCCCGGCCCCGGCCCCGGCTCCGGCTGCGGCTCCAGCACCGACTCCTTCCTCAGCACGGCCCACGGCGGCCCTGACTGTGGAGGAGGAGCTGCAGGAAGCCATCCGCAGGGCACAGGTGAGAGGGAGCGGGCTAGGGGTCTCGGTCAGGATGGTGCGGGATCCCAGGTTCACGCCGCTTCTGCCCGTCCGCAGTTGCTTCCGAACCGGGGCATTGATGACATCCTGGAGGATCAGGTGGAGCCTGAGGGTAAGAGTCCAACTCCTAGATTTGGGGGAGTTGGAGACTGGGGTTCTGGAGTCCTAAGTCCAAAGGAGGAAGGGTTTGGGATCTGGAGTCCTGGGTTCTAGGGAGGGGTGGGCTGGGGACTTGGATTTCTGGAAACGAGGAATAACGGAGTGGGTCCGGATCTCTGCCTTCCTAAGCTCACACTTCATTCCTTCTCCTGCAGACCCGCTGCCCCCCATCCCCCTGGACTTCCCCGGCTCCTTCGACGTGCTGTCCCCCTCCCCGGACTCTGAAGGCCTCTCCTCTGTCTTCTCTTCCTCGCTCCCGTCCCCCACAAACTCCCCGTCCCCCTCTCCCAGGGGCCCCACAGACTCCTTGGACTGGTTGGAGGCTCTGAGTGGAGGTCCCCTGCTAGGCTGTGGTCCCCCAGCCCCCAGCATCTTCTCTGCTGACTTATCTGACTCCAGTGGAACCCGGCTGTGGGACCTGCTGGAGGATCCATGGTGATGGATGCTGGGGTTTCCAGGGACGGAGAACTGGTGGGCATGGGAAGGTCACCGAGACAGACTCCCAAAGGAGGGGGTGGGACAACCGGCAGAGCCCCTCCCACCACAGACACAGAATCAGAGAGGACTCTCATCCCCACCAGGCCCCGAACTGCTGCTGACATGCCAACCGCCTGACTCTCGCCTGCCTGACCTCCATATGATCCCCTCCATCGTTGTGTGGTTGGGGGCCGGGAGGTGTCATTTGCTGCGGGCCAGGGGCAAACAAGCTGCTTGCTGCTTCCTTCAGAGACCTCATGGATGTCTTTGTTCCCACCTTATCCCCTCCCATGCCACCAACTAGATGGGAGTCTGGAAGGTGGTCTGTGTTTTTTTGGGTACAGGAGAGGGGGCAGGGAAGAGTCAGGAGGGAGAATAGGGAGCCAGACCCTTGGCTTCCGGTCGGAAGTGAGAGTATCAGAAGCGTCATGTCTGAGGTCAGATTCTCTTGGAAGCAGAGCCCGAGACAAGATTCGTGTGCCCATGATTTATTAAAGAAATGCTCCGAGGAGAAACCAAAAAGGAGCGGAGGAAACCAAACAGTGAAGGGGAAGAAGACTATCAAGAGTATGGCTTCAGGTGAAGTCCCAACCTCTGCGTGATCCCATGGGGAGCTCTGGAGGATAAATTAAGTTGCAGGGTCTTTCTTACCCTGAGGTAAAAGGAGCTAGGCTTTTTTTGGGGGGGGGGAGCTAGGCTTTTGAGGCAGAGGGAGATCCCTATTTGGGTTTCTTATTACTGAATATCAAGCCACCCCCAAACTTAGAGTCTTTTTTTTTTTTTTTAAGATTTTTTATTTATTTATCTGAGAGAGAGAATGGGAGACAGAGAGCATTAGAGGGGGAGGATCAGAGGGAGAAGCAGACTCCCCGCTGAGCAGGGAGCCCGATGCGGGACTCGATCCCGGGATTCCAGGATCATGACCTGAGCTGAAGGCGGTCGCTTAACCAACTGAGCCACCCAGGCGCCCCAAACTTAGAGTCTTAAAATAATAACTATTTATGATCACTCCCAGTTTCATGGGTTGACTGGCTCAGCAAGGCAGTTCTTTGGCATCATATGACTAGGGCTGCAGTCATCCTAGGGTCCAAGTGGGCTGGACCATCCAAGATGGGCTCAGACATGTCTGGCGCCTTGGCAGGAATGGCTAGTATGTTGGAGCCAGCCGGGCTGTGGTCTCTCCGGTAGGGTAACCGGACTCCCTACATGGTAGCTCAGGGTCCCCCAAAGCGAGCGTTACTGCAGCAGGAAGCAGAAGTTGCCAGTCTCATAAAGACCAGGCTTGGAACTGGCCCAGTGTCACTTGCACTATGCTCCATTGGTTAATGCAAGTCAGGCTGGCAGAAGATGGGAGGGGGCTACAAAGATGTAGGAATCTTGGAGGCATGGTCATTGGGGACCAAATATGGAGACTCCGCTACACCCCTCTTGTCAGTCATGAAGAGAGGGCGGGACATAGACTGCGGGCACCTTGAGCCCCAGGGCAGTCCTGGGAAGAAGGTCACAGAGGAAGCCCATAAGCAGCAAAATCTTGTAAAATATAGGTTTTATTATTATTCAGGTGTGGGGAAGCCGATATATCAGAATGACCGCAATTGAAAAGATCCTTTACTGGGGCGCCTGGGTGGCTCAGTCAGTTTGGTGGCTGACTCTTGATCTCAGCTCAGGTCTCAATCTCAGGGTCGTGAGTTCAAGCTCCACACTGGGCTCCACACTGGACGTGGAGCCTACTTAAAAACAAAAAAACAAAAAAGATAGTTTGTTATTCTCACAGATCCCCAAAGAAGGGGGTGTGCCAAGCCATGCACGGCCACCTGGGGAAGTGCCAAGGTAGTCAGGAGGCAGGGGGGGAGAGGGGAGCCCTGAGCAAAAGTCTTTGTTGTGGTTTCTCAGTGAGGGAACAGGGGAGGCAGGGTAAGCTGGCTTAAGATTGTCTAGTATGAATGATTTCACCTGGCTCTGGGGTGTAGGGACCATCCCTAGTTGTCTGGAACGAGGTCCTGCGGTGATAAGGCCGAGGAATCATGGCCCGGAGGAGTATACAAGCTCATAAAGGAAATGGTTGGGGGTCTGGGCTCTGGATTGGTTGGTTTGCATATGCAAAGCATGCTCCTGGGTGAGTCCTTTATTATCTCTGGGAATTTGCTAGCCCTGGGAGGGAGGGGCAGTCCCTCCAGATGTCAAAGCACCAGAAAGACGGGAAATAAAAAGCCATAATGAACGCGGAGAGCACACAGAAGATGGAGAGTGGGGGGGCCTGAGTGCAGAGAGCCGGGAAGAGGGATCTAGATCTATCTGAGGGGACCTGGGTGGGCCATCCACAGTATCCACTACAGGTGGAAAAGGACAGCAGATCAGTGACGTGCGACAGTACCCAGAGCCAGTGACTGCCCCTCGTTTGGGGCTGTCTGTTTGCTCATGGGTCCAGTGAGAATGAGGTGTTCACTGAGCCCTACAGCCCAGTGAGGATGAGATGTTCACTGAGACTTCCCATGAGCTGGACCTGCCGTGGGAGACATGCTGACAAATAATCACCCTTATGAGCTGCGAATCCACGACTGTAGTTCCTCCATGGGCATTAGAGAGTCATGAGAGAACAGGTAAGGGAGGGAGAGATCTCTACCATGAGGCAAAGGCAGTCTTTGGAGTCTTCTGACCAGTCAGGGAGGTGTCGGATGGACGCTTTAAATCAGATTCATGAGTCCATAGCCTGTGCCCTCAGAGTTGAAAAAACAGAGCCCCAGTCTCTGCTCTGGTGAAGCTCAGACATTTGCACAGAGAGAGTACCAGTGCAGGGGGATAAGGATTTTCACGGCAGAGGGGCCATGACTCCTAGAAAGTACCAGAAGCCGTGGGGATTGTGTAGGGCAGTCAGAGGAACAGCCTGAGGAACCTTGTGAGGTCAGGGCTGCTGGAACAAAAGGTGGTGGTGTGGCTGCCCCAGATTTTGGGGTGGACGCGGGTGGCGGTTGGGGCCTGCAGGCACCTTGCGGTCAGGCTGAAAATTGGGGGTAAAGGGGCGCCATCAGCCCTGGAAAGATCAGGAAGGGGTGTGGTGGTGCTTCTGTCTGTCTCATCTTGGCCCAACTCTGAGCTTGTGACCCTCTGTCCCCATGTCTCCTGCGTCCAGGGGACGGCAGCTCCAGAGGGAGTCGGGCCGAGGGGTGGCGGCTAAGGAATTCTCTGGTAGGTGGAGATTTGAAAGACAGGCACAGGCTTGGGTAGAGTGTGCATGTTTGAACCCAGCAATGGAGAGAAGGACTTGGGCCCTACACTCCCCACCACCTGTCACCCAACCCTTCTCCACACATCCCAGTTGCTCCCTCCTGTCCCCCAGGGAGAGGGCTGCACCGCCCCCAAAGGCTGGTCCAAAGGGGGACACAGGAAGACGGGGAGTACCATGTTGCCATCCCATGAGCTCAGTAGACACATGAGAAAGACCACGAATACATTAAACAAATGACCAAAATTATCAATTTTTTTTTTTAAGATTGTATTTATTTACTTGAGAGAGAGAGAGCATAGAGGGAGAGGGAGAAGCAGACTCCCCACTGAGCAGGGATCCTGATGTGGGGCTCGATCCCAGGACCCCGGGATCATGACCTGAGCCCAAAGCAGACATTTAACTGAGCCACCCAGGTGCCCCTATCAATTTGTCTTATAGACATAATCTCCAGAAGGTTGCATTGAGTAGACTGGAGAATATACTCGTTTTTCTTTCTCCTCCTCCCCCACCCCTCCCCGTTTCTCTGGCCCTCCCTGTCTCTTTCTCCCTCCCTTCTCTGTCTCTGTCTATGTTACCACATACCCTGCTCAGTGGGGAGTCTGCTTCTCCCTCTCCCTCTGTTGCTCTCCCTGCTTGTGCTCTCTCAAATAAATAAAATCTAAAGAAAAAAAAAAAAAAGGACACAGTCATATTGGATTAGGATCCACCCTAATGATCTTATCTTGACTTCATTTTCAAAAACCCTACTTCCAAATAAGTTGCATTCACAGATCCTGGGGGTCAGGACTTCAACATAATCCCTTTTGGGAGACACAATTCAGTTCATAACATGTGCCACTCTAAGCAGATGAACCAGCCTCAAGTTCTTTATGAAATATTACTGCCCTCTCCTAGTTCAGGCCCCTGCTGGCTTGTAATATAAAGCAATGTATGTTTAAGATAATAAATGTCTGAAGCATATGGACCAGATTAGCTTTACTCTGTCTGCAATTGATTAAAAAAAAGTCTGGAGAATGGGGATGGTATGATGTCATAGAGGGTGCAAGATACAGAATAGGAGGCAGATGATACTGCTGTGTTCGCAGGACCCCAAATAAAACTCTATACTAGGTTATGAATCAGGTGTCTTGTGAGCCTGCAGTTAAGAACCAGGAATCAGTGTGAGCTCTCTAGGAAGATGTTCATTTTATTAATTGTTCTATGGTTACTGTTTTTTGGGGGGTTGTGTATTGATTAAGAAACTGGGCACCTGGCTGGCTCAGCTGGTAGGGTGTGGGACTCTTGATTTGGTGGTCGTGAGTTTGAGCCCCACATTGGGTGTAGAGGTTACTTTATTTTTTTTTTAATATTTTATTTATCTATTTATTTGAGAGAGAACAAGCAAGGCTAGTGGTAGGCAGAGGGAGAGGGAGAAGCAGTCTCTCCGCTGAGCAGGGAGTCTGATGCCAAGCTCAATCCCAGGACCCTGGGATCATGACCTGAGCCGAAGGCAGACGCCCAACCAACTGAGCCACGCAGGCGCCCCTAGAAGTTATTTTAAAAAAATAAAATGGAAATCCCCCTGAAGGGGGAATCATTAAAAAAAAAGAAAGAAAGAAAGAAACCTTTGTCCACCTCAAGGTCATGAAGCTTTTCTCCCATGTTTTATTCTAGAAGCTTTATGCTTTTTTTTTTTTTTATAGATTTTATTTATTTTTTTGACAGAGAGACACAGCGAGAGAGGGAACACAAGCAGGCGGAGTGGGAGACGGAGAGAGAGAAGCAGGCTTCCCGTTGAGCAGGGAGCCCGATGCGGGGCTCGATCCCAGGACATTGGGATCATGACCTGAGCCGAAGGCAGACGCTTAACGACTGAGCCACCCAGGTGCCCCTAGAAGCTTTATGCTTTTAGCTTTCACATTTTGGTCTGTGATCCATCTTGAATTAATGTTTGTGAACCGGAGGAGGAAGGAGTCAAGTTCACCTTTTCTATGTGGATATTGGATTGCTTCCATTGATTGAAAAGCTCTTTTGTCCTTCACCTGAACTGTGTTGATGCCTTTGTCATAAATCAAGTGACCATATGTATGTGGTCTATTTCTGGACTCTTTGTTGGATTCCATTTGTCTTTTATGCTGGTACAACTTTGTCAAGGTAACTTTAGCTTTATGGTGAATATTGAAATCTGGTAATCTCTCTGGTCTCTTTACCTCGCTTCGGCCATGACTTCACTGGTCCACCATCGTGGCTTGCTGATAGTGAAAATCAGTCAGATTCATTCTTCAAGGCATATGTTCAATATAGTCTTTACATCATAGCTTTCTTGGCATTGTGATACAGAATTACACACACATACACACACACATACCTTTTTTTTTTTTAAGTAGGCTTCAACTCATGACCCCAAGATCAAGAGTTGCACGCTCTACCAGCTGAGCCAGTCAGGCGTCCCCTAGTTTATTTTGAAAGAGACTTTTGTAGGTGTCTAGGCAAAGATGGTGGTGACTTGGATAGAGTGGTGATGGTAGAGGAAGGAAAGAAGGTCCAATTCAAGATATATTTTAAAGGTAAAGCCAACAGAACTTGCCGGTAGATGGGATGTGAAAGGAAGAATCTAGAGTAAGTTGAGTTTTTGGTCGAAGTGAATGCATAATGCCATTTACTGAGATGGGGATGGGCAGGGGAAGATTTGGGTGGTTGGAATCGAGGGGAGATGTTGTCATGGCCATCTTTGGAAATAACCACCAACTGTGATGTTGTTTTAATTTAGCACCATGTAGGGGCGCCTGGGTGGCTCAGTCGTTAAGCGTCTGCCTTCGGCTCAGGTCATGATCCCAGGGTCCTGGGATCGAGCCCCGCATCGAGCCCCGCATCGAGCCCCGCATCGGGCTCCCTGCTCGGCGGGGAGCCTGCTTCTCCCTCTCCCACTCCCCCTGCTTGTGTTCCCTCTCTCGCTGTGTCTCTCTCTGTCAAATAAATAAATAAAATCTTTAAAAAAAAAATTTAGCACCATATAAAATGTGCCCCCCCGCAATACATTGAAAACGTACATCAAAAGAGAGAATGCCAAATTTACATGCAAAATAATTAAGGATTTATTTATTTTTAAATAGCAAAACCTGGTCCAGCAACCATCACCCATCCCAGCTGTATAAAATCACACTGGGGGCACCTGGCTGGCTCAGTGGGTAGAGAGTGTGATTCTTGCTCTCAGGGTCGTGAATTCAAGCTCCATGGAGCCTACTTAAAAAAAAATAATAAAATAAATCTAAAATCAGACTGGAAATTTGAATGAGTTAAATAGTTATTGAGGAAGAGACCTATTAGCATACTAAGTACTGTGGCACCCATCCCATGGGCACTAAGCCAAAAGAAAGGGACTCCAAGAGAACCATCTGGAGAGACTGTGGGGGCCTGCAAGATGTGAGGTGGTCATTAGAGCACAAATATTCTGGGGTATGTGGATGGGTTGTTCTTGACGTTGGGTGTGACCACTTGACTTGCTTCAGCCACTGAAACGTGAGTGGCAAACTTTTCTTCCCCATATACTCAATTTTGGACATCTTCCCGATCCTTATGTTCTTTTTTTAATTTTTATTTATTTAAATTTTGTTTATTTTTAAAAAGATTTAATTTATTATTTATTTGAGAGAGAGAGAGCATAGAGGGAGAAGGAGAAGCAGAATCCCCACCAAGCAGAGAGCCCGACAAGGGGCTTGATCCCAAGATCTTAAGATCCCGACCTGAGCCAAAGGCAGCCGCTTAACCAACTGAGACACCCAGGCGTCCCCCCAATCCTTATATTCTTTTATTACCTTCTTTTCAGACCAACTCCCTTACAAACATAGCGGCCATGTTTGTATTATGTGACCTCTCCGCATGGCCTCAGGTAATGGGCCCATGGTGAATGCTTGACTCAAACATCACTCTGATCAAGATGGTCTCTTTCAAGATTGTGAAACTGGCAGAGAAACACTAGGAGTCTCTGTTGAGCACTTGAAATGAGACCCCAGCACCACTTTTTACTAGGACTGTTATAGTAGCCTTTTTCCTGGTCTCTGCCCCTCTCTTACCCCTACAGCCCTTCCTCTGCATAGCAGCCAGAGAAGTCCACACAGCAAATCAGATTGTGTTATTCCCCTAATTAAGACCCTCTGATGGCTTCCCCTTGGTCTAGGAATAAAACCCAAAGTCCTTGCCATGGTCCACAAGGCCTTTCACAGTCAACCCTGTTAACTTCTCTCCCACCTCTGACTCCATGTGTTCCAGCCACGCTGGCCTGGTTCGGCTCTCATGTGTAACTAGATTCCCCCTGGCACAGGGCCTTTGCACGTGTGATCTCAAGTCAGGTGGGGACGTCCAAGTTTTGCCTAGGTTGTGCCAAAGTCATGAAAGTGTCTGCAAATATAGAGAATCATTGATTTAGTTTGTTTATCTCTGGCTGTATCACAGATGACCCCAAAACTTCACAGCATCAATCTTATTGTTATGCTCACAGACTCTGTGAATCAGGAATGGAGATAGGGCTCCTCTCTGCAACATGTTGTCACGAACCTCAGCTGGATGCCTGGCTGACTTAAACGACATGTGGAATCATATCTGATGCCTACGCTGAACGACTTGAAGTTGACCTCAGCTAAGACTGCTGATTGGAGCACCTACCCGTGGTCCCGGAGTGGGGTTGGGCTTCCTCATAGCCTGGGGGCTGCCTCCATGATGCTGATGACTGAGGGGATGCTCCACCTGAACTCCACAAAACTGCGGCTGCATGAGGCCTCAGCCAACACTGCATGGAGCAGAGAGCCACCCAGCTGACCTACAGGATTGTGGGAAATAATAAATTGCTGTCATTTCAAGCCACTATGTTTTGTTAACACAGCCTTTGCTGGTGGAGATCTTGTCTGTTAGGTGCACCACCACAGACATTAACAAAGAACAAATGGACTCTCTTCAAGTTCACTGAGCTGTGCTGGTCTCTTGAGTTCTTACCAGTAATCATCCTAAGCCCTAGGAAGCCAGGGTTGCATAATTGGGGTGGGAGGTCTTAGATGCAACCAGCTACTGGCCAATAGGGCGGCGCTCTTGTAAAAACTGGGGAAAAGGTCTCCCGTCTGGGCAGACTAATTAGAAAACAGTGAGCCCTTTGGGTGGACACAGTCCCAGGAACACATAGCTTGGAGAGTAGGTTGTTGACTCTCTTGGAGTCCCACCTGCCTCCTTGGCCAAATGCCTTTGTGTAGTGAACAACCCACACCATTCAGGGCTTCTCTGTTTTGTGTCACACCTTCTTCCTTGTTAAGAGCACCCATTTTCGGGGCGCCTGGGTGGCTCAGTTGGTTAAGCGACTGCCTTCGGCTCAGGTCAGGATCCTGGAGTCCCTGGATTGAGTCCCGCATCGGGCTCCCTGCTCGGCAGGGAGTCTGCTTCTCCCTCTGACCCTCCCCCCTCTCATGTGCTCTCTCTCATTCTCTCTCAAATAAATAAATAAAATCTTAAAAAAAAAAAAAAGACTTCAAGAGCACCCATTTTCTTTCTGCAAGCCTCCACGTCTTTCAGAGGAGGCTGATCAACTCCCCAGCTGGAGGGGGCAAAGATTTATTGATCTGAAGCTAAGCCAATCCCAGGGTCTTATTCACCTTGCCCTATAATGGGTCACGTGGGCATGTGACACACTTCCGGTCAATGAGATATGCGGGGGTGGGAGGGGTAGAAGCAGTGGCTGGAGGGCTTTGGAATCTTTCTCTCACTCTTCAAAAGGGACCCAAGAACGAAGCTCTTTTTTGCTTTCTCATGAAGAGGTTGTCTGCATGTGACCCCCCGGCTATGTGGCAGCCCTTCTGGGACCATGAGGGAGCCAGTCTGAGAGGAGTTGATGGCAGTTAAACAAGATGGATGGAACCGGGGTCACCGATGACATTGCTGGGCTGCTGACTTAACTAACCCCAGAGATGCACCAACCTCTGGCCCTGTTGTATGAGACACATAAATAGGTTGTTTAAATAAGTCAGTGACTTCCGATGCAAGACGGAAGTGTCCTGGTACATGTAACCATATGCTCCTTGAGCCTTGGGAACTTGTCTTGGAGGCATGACACATCAGTGCTTGAGTAGTGGGGAGAGGTCTGCGTTGATCCCAATCCATTCCGGCAGGAAGGCTGCCTCTGGCTTAAAGACTTTGAGGAAGGGGGAGTCGGGCAGGGTGTAATTGGCCAGGTAGATGGTCTCTCCCCCCGCGAGGTAGGCGGCCCAGATCCCGAACGTCCCAATGGTCATGACGGTGTGGTTACACTGCGTGAGCAGCGCGAAGTCCTTGGAGGGGGAGTTCTCTATGCCATTGCCGGCGAACACCACGTCCCCCCGGGAGGCGTTGATGTTCTCCCGACACCAGGCCATGCCGTTGCTGGAGATCACAAAGATGGGGGAGTCGTAGCGGGCCCGGAACCAGTCCAGGGCCTGCTCTAGGTAGCCCCGGTCGGCGACCACGCCCTTCCACACCTGCGGCATGACATGCACGTAGTCCCCCCGGCGCACGTGGACCCCCACGAAGGTGCTCGGCTGCCTCCCATTCACCTGCAGGCCCCGCAGAAACTTCTGGGCGTCCTCCCGCACGTGGTCGTGCAAGGTGAACTCCCGCAGGATCTCGCCTCGCAGGTGGTGGTAGAAGGTCCAGGAGCAGGGGTAGCCGGTGAGGCGCACGTACTCCCCCGGGATGTGGCGGTAGCGCTCCTCCATCCAGTCGTTCAGGCGGTAGTTCCGCCACGGGATCCTGCTGGCCGTGGCGCCGTGCAGGACCGGGAGGCTGATTCGGAAGATGGGGGCCAGCGTGCTGTGCATCTCGGCCGGGATGAAGGCCGGCCGCCCGTTCATCTTGGCCAGGGCGTACAGGGTGGCGTACTCCCCCATCTGGTTCCCCAGGCGGCCGATGGCGTTGATCGTCCACATGCCCCTGGGCGGCTGGCTCGTGGGGTGTTCCGTCCTCGCCCAAACCAGCATCTCAGTCCACATGCCCCTGGGCGGCTGGCTCGTGGGGTGTTCCGTCCTCGCCCAAACCAGCATCTCAGTCCACATGCCCCTGGGCGGCTGGCTCGTGGGGTGTTCCGTCCTCGCCAAATCCAGCGTCTCGAAGTCCCATGTGGGGCGAATCTTCGATAGCCGCTGCTGAAGGTGAAATATGGTGGAAGCCGTGAAGACAAAGAGGATGAAGTGGGCCATGGGGAAGAAGAAAGGCGCCTGACTGCTGAGCATGGCTGTCAGGGAAGGCAGAGCAGGGAACGTTAGCTCGGGGGGCGGGGATGGAGGCCCTGGGGTGGTGCATGAATGTGCAAGCGCAGTTGAGTGTGCAAACATCATGTGGGTGTATGTGCAGATGGCTTTGCTGTGTCTGTGTCTCAAGGGGTGTGAATACTCAGGTCCACGTACGGAGGTATGTCTCCAGAGTGTGTGATGGGAGTGTGTTTACACTGAGTTCATTTATTCCTATTTACATGTGTAGATACGAGTACACGGTGTGTATCGACACACGACATGTGCATTGTATGAGTGTGTGTGTGTGTGTGCATGCATACGGGTATCTATACCTTGTATACATATATGGGTGTGAATTTGTGTACGAATAATGGACATGTGTACATTGTATCAGATCAATGTATATATATCGTGTACTTATGTGGGTGTGTACTCTAGATACAGTGTGGATATATATACACACATACACATTATGTATATATACCTTATATGTTTAAATAAGGGTGTTTATAGCCTGAATATACATACATGGGTGTCTATAGATAGGGGGTACAAGTGTATAAACCTACTATTTACTGGGGATCCAGTTCCTAGAGATGTCCATCTCTGCATGCCCTACCTATCTATATTCTCTCTGAAGGGAAATTGCCAAACCCATCCCAAATTCAACCATTTGGCCTGCCTATCCTCCTGGCCACAGCCAACTGAATGCAAGATAAACACCAGGTTCCACGGTGGCTTTGCCATTTCTTGGTCATGACAGGTTGTAGGCTGGCTCTGAAAGATGAGTTGGCCAATTCTCTCGTGAATATTTTTATTAAAAGGTCAGAAGGCAATTGATAACCTTCCCTGTGCAGGTGAGAGTTTGTTTTCTTCTCCCCTGGGTGTTGGGCACCCAGTTGAATTCAACAATTCAATCCAATTTTGACATTGTCTACCTGACTTAGTATCAGATCCAACAAGTTAAAGAGTTCAGTCCCACTTCATATGCCAACTGCAAGTCCTGAGCCATTCATACTTCTTCTGACTGATAGGTTATAAATTGACCCCCTCCTTAGGTTTAATAAATTGCTAGAATGGCTCGCAATACTCAGGAAGGCATTTTACTTACATTAGCCAGTTTATTATAAAGGAGACAAATGAATAACCAGAAGAAGTACATAGGGTAAGATCCAGAAGGAGCTTCTGTCCCATGGACCACCTTCCTGGCTCATGGGTGTGTTTGCCAAATCAGAGGCTCTCTGAAACCCATTTAGGGCTTTTATGGAGGTTTCATTATGTAGACATGATTGATTAAATCATTGGTCACTGGTAATTAACTTAATCTTCAGTACTTCTCCCCTCCCTAGAGGTTGGGGGCTGGAGATGAAAGTTCCAATCTCTTCATTAAGCTTGGTTTTTCTGGTGACCAGATGCTGAAGCTATCTAGGGGCATATGAAGAGTCACCTCATCAGAGCAAAAGACACTCCTATCACCCTATCACTCAGGAAATGCCAAGGATTTTAGGAGCCATGTGCCGGAGCTAGGGACAAAGACCAAATATCACTGTAGGAGACTACAGCAGGTGATGCTGAGAGAGGAGGTGTTGGAGTGGCTGGGACATGTCAGATGCAGGCTGAAGCAGAGGCAGCCAGTAACGGAGAGACATCTGAAGACCTGTGCAGAGAGGTAAAGAGAACTGGCCAGGAAAACCCAGAGAAAATCCCCTTGTATTTGAACAAGTATACAACCTGTTCTTTTCAACTCTAGTTACAACGGGAATTAGTTCTAGGAGTGGGGTGGTTGCACTGGACAGACCTTCTGAGAACACATGGGATTTACTGTGGTATCATAGGAGGTAGGGGCATTCCCCATCCCAGGCCATACAACTTGGGCCGGTGATTTACAGAGCAAAGCAATTAATTAAGCTCCTTCCTGGGACCCCTTGGAACAAAGTAAAGGCCCCAGAAGGATAGGGTTTGAAGATATGGTTGTTGAGCTCAAGCCAAACAGTTGACAGTGAAAGAAAGCAGGGAATGAATTGGTGCTGACTCCCAATTATGTGTCTAGAAGCCAGTAAAGGACAAGCAGAGCAAGCATTGTTTAGGATGATCACAGTTAACGCTTTATTGTTGCTAAAGACTGCATCCAGGAATGATTGATGGGCTTTGTCATTCCGCAGTCTAGGCTGGAACAACACCTGCACCATGCTGCCACAGTAAAAGTCCAGGTTTGGCCACTGATGAACTTTGGAATCGGAATAATGGGAATGGGGATATGTGGGAGGAGTCAAAAGAATGAGACCCTTCTGCTTCCCCAGCTCTTTCCAAGACTTTCCTCCTCCTTCCCTGTGCATGTGAGGTTCCCACCCATTCTTTTTAAAGCTCTTCCTCATAAGCAGGCTTTAATCAAAGCATATCCTGAAGGTCCTGCACAAAGGTAGATTCGAGATGAAAGGTTTCTGGTTGACTTGGTCCATGGCTTGGGTTCCTGGTAAAAGTACTGAACCAAGTGGCCATTAAGAAGAGAACACTGGGGCTAAACCAAGCAAGGTGTGACCTGGTTTAACCTGGGAAGCTGCCAGAAGCTATGCAGGTATGGTCCTTAATGATTAATTATGGCTGATAAAAGTTGGCACAGGACCTAATTAAGCAATATCCCTGTTTCTAAGTCACTGCCATCCTCATAGCCTATTAAGATTACATGCATTATTTTTCTTTTGTTCAAGATTTTATTTATTTGAGAGAGAGACAGACAGACAGAGATAGTGACAGAGAGCATGAGTGGGGAGGAGAGGGAGAAGCAGCTGAGCAGGGAGCCTGATGTGGGGACTCGATCCCAGGACCCTGAGACTGTGATGTGAACCCAAGGCAGGCACTTAACCGACTAAGCCACCCAGGCGCTCTGCATTATTTTTCTAGAAGAAACTCAGGTTTGTCCACTAGATGCCTGGATTTGAGTTAAACCAACTCAGGTGGGGGTCTGGTCCCCTTGGGTCATCACCAGATGTTGAGCCTAACCCGAAATGAACTCCTGGGAGGTACAATCTCCTCTCGCCCCATTCATCTTGAATGAAAGGAGCCAGAGAATCTGGACTTGCTGAATAAAGTTCACTTCACAACTCAGCTGATGCTCAGGAGAGTCTCAATCTTACTGGTCAAAAGTTCCAGATCAGGGGTGCCTGGGTGGCTCAGGTGGTTAAGCGTCTGCCTTCGGCTCAGGTCATGATCCTGGAGTCCTGGGATTGAGTCCCGCATCGGGCTCCCTGCTCGGTGGGGAGTCTGCTTCTCCCTCTGACCCTCCTCCCTCTCAGGCTCTCTGTCTCTCATTCTCTCTGTCTCAAAAAAATAAATAAAATCTTAAAAATAAATAAATAAATAAATAAATAAATAAATAAAATCTTAAAAAAAAAAAAAAAAAGGCCCTACATTTTTGCTCACTCAACCCATAGACCTTGTGTGTTATGTGTTGGATTGTGTCTTTCTGCCAAAGGTATACTGGAATCCTAACTCCTGTTACTGCAGAATATGACCTTATTTGAGACAGGGTCTTTACAGAAGTGACCGAGTTAAAACGAGGTCATCCTAAGGTGGACTCTAATCCAACAGGACTGGTGTCTTTATAAAAAAAAAAAAAAACTAAACTAAAACACAGCCCATGGTGTATCGTATGATATTGGTCCAAGGCTGGCCTCTTTATTGCCAGCTCATGATGTGCGGGCATGGGTGGTGTGGCTCAAGAGACTCATCTGTATCAAGCAGATTCTCTCCCTCGCAAATGTGAAGTCAGAAGCACAGAGAGGGTGGCCGGTTGGTGGTGGGGCTGGTGGCTAAAGGGCCTATTAGGGCCACGTGCAGCCATGTTGAGCCATATCTAAGATGGACCAGGGAAATCCATAAGCACATTGAATTCGATCCTGAGAATAAAAAGGAAGAGGATCCTGAGGGAGAAATGGAAAGTAGGACTGGGACCCTGATGGTTTCCTGGTTCCTGTCTCCTCAAGGCCACTTGTGCTTACGTTCATGTCCAGGTCCCAACACGATTCCTCAAGACCCCGCCCCCGATGCTGGGCAGAAGGAACTGTCTGGAGACTGGGAAGCAGGAGGAAGCTGGGGAAAGGAGGGGCCACCCCAGGTAGGAGGAGGGAGAACTCCCCCCCGGAGTGGCCTCGTGCCTTCTTCCCACTTCTTCTGGGTGTTTTTCTCTTCCTTTCACCAACTAGATTGTGAGCCTTCGAAGGGCAAGGAGTCGACTTAGCTCCTCTGTCTAGTTCTGAATTTGCCAAGAACAGGACGTGGGACAACAGGGGCCAAGGGAAATGCTTGTGGGAAGGCAGAAGGATGGAGGGAAGGAAGGAAGGGAGGGAGGAAGGGGGGAAGGAGAGAGGAGAGAAATGGAAAAAGAGACAGGAAAAGAGAAAGAGAGGTAACTAGACCGAGAGGAACACAGGGACAGAGCCAGAGAGAGAAAGAGCAGGAAGAGAGATAGACAAGGAGAGATGGAGACACAGAGAGAAAGATGGAGACAGGGAAAGAGAGAGGGAGAAAGAAAGAGAGACGGGGAGAAAGAAAGAGAGACAGGAACAGAAAAACCACAAGAGAGACAGAGAGAGTGAGAGACGGAAAGAGAGGGAGAGAGAAATAAGGCAGATGGGGTGGATCTGCCCGCACTCAGTCCAGCTCTGGCCCCTGTTCTGTCCCAATTCTGTGTCTCCAAGTGAGTCTCTGTCTGGATCATTCAGTCCCAGTTTCCTGATCACACACACAGCTCCGTGAAGGAAGGGACAGCGTTGGTCTTATTCCCTCTGTATCCCCGGCAGCCCACAGCCAACGGGGCTCGACACATAGTAGGTGCTCAAGAAATGTATGCAGAAGGAATGTGGGTCTGTCTCCACCTGTCAAGACCCAGTTGGGCTCCATCTGTTGCTTTTCCTCCTTACAGCAAATGTCTGCCAACATCTCCCTGTCTTGAGTTCCTCTCTCTCTCTCTCTCTTTTTTTTTTTTGTTTTTGTTTTTGAATCCATTTCCCGGCACCAAGTAGGTAAAGAGATGAATACTGGAAGGACGACCTTCACAATCAAACCTCTTAATTTCTGGGCTGGCCCTGAATATCCCCTCGAAATATGTTTACAGCAGACAGAAAGACAAGAAGGCTAGTTTTGTTTGGGTAAAAAGGAAGACAGAATGTTCTAGAACAGCATCTCTCAGCTTCCTTGGTGGTTTCCTGCTTCCTCCCTTGGGAAGAGGGAGGGTCCACTGTTGAGAGGCCTAAGGGAAGCACCTGCAGACCTTGACCCCCTGTCCTTGAGCGAGGCTGTGGGGAGAGGAAGGAGGGAGGCTTACAGGGTGAAGGGAACCCAGTGTCTGGGAGTGGGGCGTGGATCTGGAGAGAAGCTCAGGGGAGTGCGGTCATTAGCCTCATGTTGGCTATGTGACTTTGACCAAGGGCCTTTACTTCTCAGTGTTGTCATCCAAAAGCTGGGGATAATAATACTTCTCCTCAGGGCTGTGTGAGCACAACATGGGTTAGGAAATCTGAACTGAATGCTTAAGAGTGTGGGCCAATCCTGCAGGTCAGTGCAAACACGCCCATTGAAAGCAAAGGCAAAGTGAGTCTCAGGGACTAGTCAGAGAGGGGTCTAGGGGGCAAGCCTGGGGAAAGGCCAGGGCTGGGGCGTGGAGCTGGGCACAGGGAGATTTGGGGAAATGCCAACGGCCAACCAGCCAACCGCTGGGAGTCTGCATGAAAAGCAGACTTGGGGCAAGTGGGAGGAGTCTGCCTTCCCCCTAGTCCTGGAGAGCAGAAAGTCCACTTCCTTATCTGTCCTCAATCCCTGCAGAGGCATCAGGCACTTCAGGCCAGCCAAGGAGGGAGGGGCAAGAGGAGGGGTCAAGGGGCGCCTGGGTGGCTCAGTCGGTTTGGCTCAGGTCATGATCCCCCGGTCCTGGGATGGAGCCCTGCGTCTGACTCTCTGCTCAGTGCTGAGCCTGCTTCTCCCTCTCCCTCTGCCCCTCCGCTCTAGCTCCTGCTCACTCTCTTGCTCTCTATCTCAAATAAAAAAAAAAAAAAAAGAGGAAGGGTCAAGCGCCCTTCCTCCATCCGGGTCCCCCGGCGGCCGTCCCTTGGGCGATCGCAGCAGGAGGATTGGAGAATAGAAAGGGGCCCCAACTTTGAAGGAGGAGCCCAGCCTGCAGGTCCCTCAGAAAAATGGGGCCACCAGTATCTGCCCATAATTCCTTTTTTTTTTTCTTTAAGATTTTATCCATTTGCGAGAGAGAGAATGAGAGACAGAGAGCATGAGAGGGGGAGGGTCAGAGGGAGAAGCAGACTCCCCGCCGAGCAGGGAGCCCGATGCGGGACTCGATCCCGGGACTCCGGGACCATGACCTGAGCCGAAGGCAGTCGCCCAACCAACTGAGCCACCCAGGCGCCCCTGCCCATAATTACTTTTAAACTCTCTCGGTCTCATATGCCAGGCTGCGCCTCGTCCTCTCTGTCCTCTCCCCTCTGGAGCCTGGCCCCAGGCGCCTCGCTTCCCCCCCCTCCCCGCCCCGTCCCCACCCCCAGAGCTGGCCTGGCCCCCTCCTCAGCTCACAGCCCTCCCACAGCCATGTTGAGCCATATCTAAGATGGACCAGGGAAATCCATGGGCTTCCCATCCCCCACCCAGCCAGGTTTTGCTACCAAGAAATAACTCCCTCTCCCACGTCCCCAGGCCCAGTGGTCACAGTCTTGATTTGCATGTTTTCCGCTCGGAAAACCCCTCCCTAGCCCTTCCCAGCCTCTCGCCCAGGTAATCCCAGATCACCCAGTGCAGTCCCCACCCTACCGCTCTGGGCATTGCAGGTTTGTCCTATCCTTCCCATCGCCCGGAATTCACAGTGTAAGCGCGGCTCTGGGGAAGGGCTTGGGACACAGATGTGAGGCCACCACTTTGATGTCCCCAACTTGATTCCCAGGACGGCAATGGAAGGGGTGACTGGGAGCCAGGGATCCCTGGGGCCATGGTGGGCCGGGGGGTGGGGGCGGCGGCTCGGGGGCTCTGAGGACCCCGGGGTCCTGTGGTTGGGTCCTGCGTCCGTCCCCGGGGGTGGGGGAGCAGACCCCGAGAAGCGACCAGGAAACTTTAGTACTGCAGGCTCGTCCCCGGCCTCTGGTCGGCACAGTGATTCTCAAGTAGGTTCCAGGAAATGGGTGAAGGGAGGGAAGGAGTTGGAAGCCTGGGGCGGGGGAGGGGCGAGTGGGGGTGATGGAGGAGGGTGGGGGTTCAGGTATCAGATCAGTTAGGAGGGAAGGTGAGGGGAGCCGAGTGAGGCGGCGTCTGGGGGGCTGGAGGCAGAGGACGGGGACGCCTGGGCTGTGAGGGATGGACCCTCTGCCTCCGGAGACTCGGGGGTGAGGGCATCCCAGAGGGGATCCCTGAGTTCAAGTGTGTCCCCGCTCCTGCCCCGTGTGCCCGCGTGCTGCGGGTAGGGGAGAACCCCCCCCCCCCCCCGCGCCGTCTCTCACCTGGTTCTGGCTGCAGGAATCCGGGGAGCCGCCGACGTGGTTGCTCAGCGAGCAGATCAGGGTGCTCCCTCCCCTGAGGTCGACTCCTTACTCAGAAATCTGAACTTCCAGCCCTCTGTCCGGAAAACTCCGCCCAGGATCTACCTGGCCTTCCAGAGCCGTAAGGGAGCGGGGCGGCTGGGCCTGGGGAGCCAGGTGTGCCCGGAGCCCGGCCTCCTCCCTCCCCACGTGACTGCCGGGAAGCTGGCCAGGAAGACTGACCCGAGGAGGAGGAGGAGGAAGAGGAGGAGGAGGAGGAGGAGGAGGAGGAGGAGGAGGAGGAGGAGGAGGATCGCGTCCCGCGGGGCCAGGCTCTTCCCGATTCAGTCCTCTCAGGGTCCTGCTTTTATTTATTTTGGCAACACCGGTAGCATTTACGTGGTCTATCAATCTCATTCCATCCTCACAATTCGGGGAGGTCGACCCTCTCAGCAGTGCTACGGTGCAGAGGGGGATACCGAGGCACAGACAGGTGAAGTAACTTGCTCAAGGGCACACAGCTAGGCAGTCAGAGAAGCTAGAATTCGAAACCAGGCAGGCCAGGATCTTGGAAAACACCTGGCGAATACCAACTCTTCCCCCTTTCCCTTCTTTCAAAAAACGAGAATCCCCTAATGGTACGTCAGCCGGCCAGGCTCTGCGGGTCTACCGCTGCCAAAACTCAACTGCAAGATCGACGAGGAATTTTGCGGGGGAGGGATGAGGCGGGCACCTCCAGAGCCCCCAACATTCCTAACGCTGAAAGAGGGACACGAGCAGCCCCTCCCGGCCCCTCAGTGAGGCGACAGGAGGCTTGCTGCACCGTCTCTAAATCTCACACTCAACTGCTTCGCTGCAAAAAAAAAAGAATCTGAATCTGATCAAGCCTCACAGTGTGATCACCAGCTTTCACAAAACAGGAGGATAGAGTTGCCGGTGAATGGACACCACGAGGGTGCCAGGAGCCAAGTCCAGAATGTGGGACAGTCTACAGGACCCTATGACCCAGTTTCCCCAACACTGGGGAGAAAAGAAAAAAAGAAGCAAAGGGAGCCTTATAATATGCACAAAGCAGATCCTGGGCTCAGAAATGTATAAACGGATTTTTTTTTTTTTTTTTTTTTTACCTGTATGGATGTCTGAACGGATATCCAAAAGTCACGGGATGTGGGACACATCTGCCCTATGTAATGTTTAGCAGCCTCGGTCCTCAGTCACTAAATGCTGCGGTAACATCGGACGACCACTGTGACAACTAAAAATGCCCCACAGATGCCCAGAATGCCCCCCGCCTGGGACAGTACTCCCCAACTGAGGACTGCTGATCTACCCCTTCAGCAGGACCAGCGGCTGGTAAAAGCTTAACAACCAGCTCCATTGGGGGCGGGGGATCCCTGCTTAGTGGCATTTGCCAATTTCCGTGGTATAAAGACCCCACCCCACCCCGCCCCCCAGCCAATTTCAAGCAACCAACACAGACATCACACCAAACTGCAAAGAGATGCACAGAACACTGATATATAATACCCAGTAAACAGATACAGTAGATAACCTCAAGAGATAGTAGTATTGGACTGTAATAAAATAGTCAGGGCATGAGGAATTTTGAGCCTTCATTGCCTTTGGTTTGATATAATGTATTCACTTGTGATACATTTTAATTCTAGGTAATGCCTGTGCTTAAAAATCAGCCCGGAAACCTAACCATTCATTGGCGCTCTCTCTCTCTCTCTCTCTCTCTCTCTCTCTCTCTCTCTCCCCCTCTCTCGGTATGTGCTGACCCCAACACACACTGCTTGGGGTCTGGCTTCATCTTTGGTGCTTCTCATCGGAGTGTGGGCACACCTCAGACATCCTGGGGGTCGGGTTCTGGACATTCACCATAAAGGGAATATCGTGGGCCGCCTACGTGGCGCAGTTGTTTGAGCGTCTGATTCTTGGTTTCGGCTCAGGTCGTCATCTCGGGGTCCTGGGATCGAGCCCCATGTTGGGGTCTGTTCTCAGAGGGGAGTCTGCTTGAGATTCTCTTCCTCTCCATCTGCCCCTCCCCTGCTCACACGCACAAGCATTCTCTCTCTCCAATAAATAAATCTTAAAAAAATAAAAATAGGGCGCCTGGGTGGCTCAGTTGGTTAAGGGACTGCCTTCAGTTCAGGTCATGATCCCAGAGTCCCGGAATGGAGTCCCGCATCGGGCTCCTGGCTCAGCAGGAAGTCTGCTTCCCCCTCTGACCCTCTCCCCTCTCATGCTCTCTCTCGCTCTCTCAAACAAATAAATAAAATCTTTAAAAAAATAAAAATAAAAACAAAGCAAGGATCTCAATAAAGTGAGTCAAATGAATTTTTTGGTTTCTCAGTGCATATAAAAGTTATGTTTAGGGGCGCCTGGCTGGCTCGGTGAAGGGTTTGATTCTTGATCTCGGTGTCATGAGTTCAAGCTCAAAGTCAGGCAGAGAGATTACTTTAAAAAGGGGGGCATATGTTTACACTCTACTGTAGACCATTAAGTGTCTGAAAAAACCAGTTACTCACCAAGGGGCATCTGGGTGGCTCAGTTGGTTAAGTGGCTGCCTTCGGCTCAGGTCATGATCTTGGAGTTCTGGGATCGAGCCCCACATTGGGCTCCCTCCTCAGCGGGGAGTCTGCTTCTCCCTCTCCCCTGCTCATGCTCACTCTCTCAAAAAATAAATAAATAAATAAATAAAATCTTTATATATACAGAAAGTTACTGACCCTAATTTAAAAATGCTTTACTGCTAAAAAATGCTAACCATTGGGGCGCCTGGGTGGCTCAGTTCGTTAAGCGTCTGCCTTCGGCTCAGGTCATGATCCCGGGGTCCTGGGATCGAACCCCGCATCAGGCTCCCTGCTCCACGGGAAGCCTGCTTCTCCCCCTCCCACTCCCCCTGCTTGTGTTCCCTCTCTCGCTGTGTCTTTTTCTGTCAAATAAATAAAATCTTTTTTTTTAAAGATTTTATTTATTTATTTGAGAGAGAGAGAGAATGAGAGACAGAGAGCACAAGAGGGAAGAGGGTCAGAGGGAGAAGCAGACCCCCCGCTGAGCAGGGAGCCCGATGTGGGACTCGATCCTGGGACTCCAGGATCATGACCTGAGCCGAAGGCAGTCGCTTAACCAACTGAGCCACCCAGGCGCCCCAAATAAATAAAATCTTAAAAAAAAAGAAATGCTAACCATCGTCTGAGCTTTTAGTGAGTTGTAATCACTGATCACAGATCACCAACAGAAATATAATAATAATGAAAAAGTTGGAAATATCGCAAGAATTACCAAAACGTGACACAGAGACAGCTAGTGAGCAAATGCTGTTGGAAAATGGTGCCTATAGACTTGCTTGATGCAGGGTTGCGGCAATCCTTCAATTTGTAAAAAAAAAAAAAAATTGCGGTATCTGCCAAGTGTAATAAAACGAAACCCGATACAAGGTCCTGCTCAAACACTCAAACGCTTGTTATGTCTCCATGAACACTGGTCCATGTCCTCTTGGAGTCCAGCCAACGTGCTCAGAGGAAGTGAAGCCTGTCCTGCAGGAGGAGAGAGGCCACACGGAGGACGCCTGACAGTCCCAAACAAGCTCCGTGCTGAGTGTAGCTGCCTGAGGGACCTCCCACACCACACAGAGTCAAGAACCCAGTCAATCCACGTAATTGTGAGAAGTCATCGATTCTGCACTTAGAATCATTACATTTTGGGGGTGGCTTGTTACACAGCATTAGCTAGCTGAAACACCTCCCATTCAGGTGACAGGTCCCTGAGAGCAGGAAGCATGTCCGCTTTGCTCATTACTGGGTCTCCACTGTCTAGAATGTTTCCTGGCAGATGGCAGGTGCTCTATACATATTTGTGGGAAGAAGGAGAGAAGGAGGGAAGGAAGGAAAGGAGGGAGGGAAGGGTTTTCAGAACTCCACCTCCTGGGATGATGTCCATGAGATGTAGGTGAAGCTGGTCACTGCCCACCAGCCTCTATGTGTGTATGATAGCGTGGTTCTTTGGAGGGGGGGTGCTGTATGTATCATACACAGTACTTACTACCTCATTCCATGACCAGGGTTGGGATGCCAGAATGAAGATTTGTTACCTAATAAAGAATTGTCCTGAACCCCCATGACTCTGGAACATTTTGCCAGACCCGTATGCAGGTAAAAAAAAGAAAAGTGTTTAGGACTATCTGAGTCCAGGAAGTGTTTTTGCTTATTGACCACAGGGTTAGAGGGGCCCCGGGCCACATGTGGGAGCATGGGTGGGATGCTTGGGGTGACCACACATTGCAGAGCAGAGGGCGAGACGCTGGCGATCCCCCATCTCCCGCCATCCACAGGCTCTGCATCAGTCAGGAGACACTCGGTGTAAACTAAAGGACTATTTCAAACCTGCTTCCAGCCTCCCTGTGAGGCTCTGGGCAGCGCCCCCCGCCCCCCGAAGTTTACTTGTAGCCTCTACCATTGAACTGGGAGCCCTCTGGGGTGAAAACCAGGGCCAGGCCACCCCTAAGCTTGTCCCTGGACACAAAAAGGGGCATTGGTGAATTTCTTTAAAATGTACTATGGAATTTGGATTCAACAGCTCGCACAAAAGTAGACAAACTGGTACAACAAAGCCCCATACACCCATCGCTCAGTTTTCAACTTGTTGCCAGTCCGGCTTGTTCTGTCCTTTGCCTTTTCGCTCAATCTGCACACATTTCAGTGTGTTCCTCTTACCGATAAGAATATTTAAAAATGGGGGGAGCACCTGGGTGGCTCAGTTGGTTAAGCCTCTGCCTTCAGCTCAGGTCACGATCCCGGGGTTCTGGGATCGAGCCCCGCCTCGGGCTCCCCGCTCAGCGGGAAGCCTGCTTCTCCCTCTCCCTCTGCCTGCCTCTCTGCCTACTTGTTCTCTCTCTCTCTCTGTCAAATAAATGAATAAAATCTTAAAAAAAAAAAAAAGAATATTTAAAAATGGGGATGCCTGGGGGGCTCAGTCAGTTAAGCCTCTGCCTTCGGCTCAAGTCATGATCTCAGGGTCCTGGGATTGAGCCCCGCATTGGGCTTCCTGCTCAATGGGGAGTCTGCTTCTCCCTCTCCCTCTGCCTGCCATTGCCCCTGCTTGTGCTCTTTCCCTCTGTCAAATAAATAAATAAAATCCTTAAAAAAAAAGACATTTAAAAATGTATAGCAAACACCATGCTGTTACTAGCCCTAAAATTAAATCATCTCTGAGTATCATATAATACCCAAATTATGATTTCCCTGATGGTCTCAAAGCTGCCTTTTTTTTTTCTTTCAACCTACAACAGCACATCCTCAAGCACAAGTGGAAATCCACGGGTCCCCACCCCAGCGTCCACGTTTACCAGCACCCCTTGCTTTGTGTGCAATAATAGCTAACACTTGCGACATGTGTCCATGTGCCGGGCACGGTTCATTTTTTATAACAGTTTGGCTGAGACAGAATTCACATACTGTAAAATGTAAAGCACACAAATCACTTAAAGTATGTAACTGGATGGTTTGTAGTGGCCTGCAGATCAGTGGCTTAGAAACCCGTGGCTGCAGAAGTGTGCACTCATCTCTACAATCACTGAAGAACATTGTCACTCCCCACCCCCACAAAAAAGCAAGCCTGAACCCATAAGCACTCACTAGCCAGGCACCCACCGGTCTGCTTTCTTCTATCCCTATGGCTCTGCCTTTTCTGGACATTTCGCACAGTATGTGGTTCTTTTTTTTTGTTTTTTTTTTTAAAGATTTTATTTATTTATTTGACAGAGAGGGAACACAAGCAGGGGGAGTGGGAGAGGGAGAAGCAGGCTTCCTGCTGAGCAGGGAGCCCGATGTGGGGCTCGATCGCAGGACCCTGGGATCATGACCTGAGCCCAAGGCAGACGCCTAACGACTGAGCCACCCACGCGCCCCCAGTATGTGGTTCTTTAGCCGGGTCCGGGTCCTGTTTTAATCCTCAGAGAGGGGAAGTCACTTGCCCAGGGTGACACAGCGAGTGAGGGTGGGAGCCTGGCAGCCTCAGTCTGTGCCCAGCGTGTGCACTTAGCCACAGAGCTATGGGTCCTCTCTGAGCCACTGTGCGAACGAAGCGTGTTCCACGTTGGGCTTAGGGAGCGGAGGCATCAGCAGCTGAGAAATGAACTTTATGCAGCAAACCCCATCTCCCTGGCTCCTTGTGTTCAAGTCCACGGCCACCAGAAGGGATGGTACCACCCAGGAGTCTATTTCTGGTTGGGCCCAATGCCTGGTTGTGACCCAAGGCGCCCAGACCCCCGGCTGGGTTGGCTCAATTTGGGTAGAGGCATCCATCCGGTTGACGAGCCTGCGTTTCTTCTGGAAAGAGCTCTCTGGCCTCTGAGGGTTTCGGGGGACTTACAAACCATGAGCGGGGATGGGGCTGCTGGATCACCCGTGGGGCACACCTCTATGATAGCCTCCATGGCCTCCCAGTTCCAACCAGGTCACACCCTGCTTGACTCACACCCAGTGCCTTCCCCTTGCTGGCCCTGGGTTCCCTAGCCAACCAGGAACACAGCAGCCTGTTTTTTTAATCTGCTGGTGTGCGGAGTGAGAAGCTTGGCAGGGGCTCAATGCTTGTCCAAGCCGTTTAATAGGTAGGCGTGAAACTCTATCAGTTCTTTAGGGCTTCTGTAACAAGGACACAACTGCGAGCCTTAAAACCATAGAAAATTATTCCTTCCCAGTTTGGAGGCTGGAAGCCCGTCGTCTCTGCCCCTGTCATCCCAGGGCGCCGGCCCCTCGAGGGTCTGTGTCATCGGCCACGTGGGAGGCGGGGCCCACCCTACCCCACCAGGACCTCATCTTAACTAATTGACCTGCAAAGACGCTATGTCCAAATAAGGGCACATGCTGAGGTCCTGGGCGTTAGGCTTTCCACCTATCTTTCTGGGGGACACAACTCGGCCTGTAACAGACACGTACGGGGGGCTCCATCATTGTCTGGAATACACGGCTACGTGGCTCCCGTCCCCGGCTTCCTTCTGTCCCCTGCGGGGAGTTCAGGGCAGAGCTCAGTAAATATTTGTGACTGATTTGGTGAGATTTATGGCTGACAGCTGGCCAATTTCTGCTTCAGCCTTCATGACCACTTCCTCTTCCAAACAAGGCCCTTCAAACACCAGGAGCAGAGCTGGGTCCCCTTTGCCTTGAGATTAAACAGAACGCAATATGGTTTTAGTGAGCTACTCCACCCAGCTCCAGGAAGAGAGCAGCGCCCGCTCTTTGCACCTGCAGGGCCCCTTCCTGGTGGGGACCTCCCCAGGAGAGTGGCTGGGAGGATGGGTCTTCTCAATCTTCCTTGGCCCACGCCCCGCCCACGACCTAATCACTTCCCGAAGGTCCCACCTCCAGATGCCAGCACACTGGGGAGTTGAAGGCCCAACACATGAATTTTGGAGGGACACGAACACTCGGTCCGCAGCGGATGCCATCGGCCAGAGCAAGGCAAAGAAGGTGGGAGGGGAGAGTTGGAGCTGCTGTGGGGAGGGGGGCACGGGAGTATTTTATTGAAATGTGAGATCCAGTAGCCATTCCCTTCTGTACTTTGATATTGTTGCAGAATTGGTAGAGGGTCAGAGGTCACGGCTCAGGTTCCTGGAACAGGGACAATTAGGAAAAGATGTTGACTTGGTAAATTATCCTGTGGAGGAGCGACTTGGCATTGAGAGGAGGGAGGAAAAACAGAGGGAAGTTAAGCCCGCCTGATTCTAGGGCAGAGGGCTGGGAGTCGCTTGTGTCCCCACAAAAATGCCTATGTGGAGGTCCTAACCCCCAGCACCCCAGAATGTGACCTTATCTGGAGATAGGATCTTTAGGGATGCAATTATATTAAAATGAGGGCGTTAAGTGGGGGCCAATCTTTGATGACTGGTGTCCTAACAGGAGGAGGAAGTTGGTGGAGACAAATTTCTTCCAGAAGGGGGCCCGGGAACTAGCCTCCCAACCCCCACCCTACCCCAGCCCCAGGAGAGCCTTCAGAGGGACCAGGACACCATCTGACAACAACCTCACCGGACAAGGCAAGCAGAACCATCCAGCTAAACCCTGCCCAAATCCCTGACCCACACAAACTATACTCCAAAATTTTGGAGTAATTTGGGGATAGCTCACACAGAACCTCCCTCCTGCTTCCCCTCCCCTTCCTTCCAGACCCTTCTGGTGCTTTCTCCAGCATCCCCCCTACCCTCAGGCCCAGACCTTGCTGATTCTATTGGGACTTCAGGAAGTAAATTGGGGTCAAAATGGCTCTGGGGAGATACAATATTATTGATAAGTGGAAACAAAGGTGCTCAACCTCAGAAGCATGCCCGGAAATGGGCATTCAGATAAGTAAGACACTTAGAGCGTAAAACAGGAAAGGGATGGGATGGAAATGTTCTCTAAACCAGTGTGCTTGCTTATGCTCAGTGACAATTTTCTTTTTTTTTTTTTTAAAGATTATTTATTTATTTATTTGACAGAGAGAGACACAGCGAGAGAGGGAACACAAGCAGGGGGAGTGGGAGAGGGAGAAGCAGGCCTCCCGCCGAGCAGGGAGCCCGATGTGGGACTCGCTCCCAGGACCCTGGGATCATGACCTGAGCCGAAGGCAGTCGCTCAACCGACTGAGCCACCCAGGCGCCCGCAGTGACAATTTTCAATGAACATAAATGACTGTATGTTAAGACTTTTTTGGGGGGCGGGGGAACGCCTGGGTAGCTCAGTTGGTTAAGCATCTGCCTTTGGCTCAGGTCATGATCCCGGGGTCCTGGGATCGAGCCCTGAGTCAGGCTCCTTGCTCAGCGGGGAGCCTGCTTCTCCTTCGCCCTCCCCCTGCTTGTGCTCTCTCACTCTGACAAATAAATAAATAAAATCTTTAAAAACAAAAAAAGTTTTTTTTAATATCCAAAAGGAGTATTACACCGATAAAAATACTGGTATCTCCATAGTTCCAAATGCACTGAACACAGGAACACCCGTATTATGATCCCCTATTCAACTCTTGTCCACACGGGGGTTTCTCAGAGTGGCTCTGGGTCCTGGGGGGCATAGGCAGGGCCAAGGGTGAGGCCATCCGTCTGCAGGTGGCTGCTGACATGGCCGTGTTTCCTGGAGCCCCCTGAGGTCCGCCCGCCACTTCTAGGACGTTGGGCTCTGGGCATTTTGCTGCTGCCGGCCGATTGGTGTGGAGTCCCGCCTGAGTCCTGCCCCCACCCCATGCCCACCCCCATTTCCAGGCACCTCGCCTCCCCACTGAGGGTACCTCCCCAGGATTCATCCTCTCAAATCCCGGGTTCCCTCCCTTTCATGATGAGGCCCCATGAAACCCAAAGCCTAACATTTGGCTCTCCTTGACTTGAGGGCAGGAACGGCTTCACCGAACCCTCCCAGGAGGCAAGGGCAAAACACTTGGACTCACGCTCCTGAAGCTACAGACAAAGAGAGGGCAAAATATATGTTTCCATCTTAAAGCAGCCCGAAAGTTCAGGATACGCCACCCACGTGCCTGTTCGGGTTCGGGTTAGGGTTCCCAAGACACTAAATAAACTTGCTGCAGGAGCTGCGGAGGTAAGTTCTGTATTAGGTCCACTTTGCAGGTGGCACGCTAAGGCCCAGAGAGGTTAAGTCACTTGTCCGAGGTGGCCCAGCTGGGAAGCATCGCGGCCTGGAGGCAAACACAGGTGCTGCAGCTCTGGGGCAAAGCCTGTTGGCCCCAGGGCGAGGGGGGGACACGCGACGCACCGGGCTAGGAGCCACTCTCTCTGGCCTGCCCAAGGTCAGCGGCGATGCCCACCCACTCGGGCAGGAAGGCCGCTTGGGGCTTGAAGATCCAGTGGAAGGGGGAGCCGGGCAGGGTGAAATTGGCCAGGTAGACGGTGTCCCCGCCCGCCAGGTAGGCGGCCCAGATCCCAAACGTGCCCACGGTGATGACGGTGTGGTTACACTGCGTGAGCAGCGCGAAGTCCCTGGTGGGGGAGCCCTGAAGGCCATTGCCGGCAAACACCACGTCCCCCCGGGAGGCATTGATGTTCTGCCGACACCAGGCCATGTCGTCGCTGGTGATCACGAAGACTGGGGAGCGGTAGCGGGCCCGGAACCAGTCCAGGGCCTGCTCTAGGTAGCCCCGGTCGGCGACCACGCCCTTCCACACCCGCGGCATGACGCGCACGTAGTCCCCCCGGCGCACGTGGACCCCCACGAAGGTCGACCGCCGGGCCCACTTGGCCTGCAGGCCCCGCAGAAACTTCTGGGCGTCCTCCCGCACGTAGTCGTGCAAGGTGAACTCCCGCAGGATCTCGCCTCGCAGGTGGTGGTAGAAGGTCCAGGAGCAGGGGTAGCCGGTGAGGCGCACGTACTCCCCCGGGATGTGGCGGTAGCGCTCCTCCATCCAGTCGTTCAGGCGGTAGTTCCGCCACGGGATCCTGCTGGCCGTGGCGCCGTGCAGGACCGGGAGGCTGATTCGGAAGATGGGGGCCAGCGTGCTGTGCATCTCGGCCGGGATGAAGGCCGGCCGCCCGTTCATCTTGGCCAGGGCGTACAGGGTGGCGTACTCCCCCATCTGGTTCCCCAGGCGGCCTTTGGCGTTGATGGTGAACATGCCCCCCGGCGGCAGGTGTCTGGGGAGCAGGACCATGCGGCCTGGGTAGGCCCAGGGGGTGGGCACCAGGGCCAGGCGGTGATGGGAGTGGAAGACGGTGGACACCACCAAGAGGATGAAGAGGAAGTAGATGGTGGAGAAGGAAGGGCAAGTGGCCCTGAATCCCATGATGGCTGGGGGGAGGAGAGAGGACACAGTCAGGAGTGACAGCTAGGGGCACCTGAGTCTTGTTCACCCCCAAATCATTTGTTCCCGCACTCAACTCCTCCAGGCAAGGCTAGGGGTGTCGTCCAGTGCGTCCTGACCCACTTTCTGCTCTCCCTCTACCTGCGGTTTCCCTGAGGCTGCAGCTCAGGAGTCTCGTGGGCAGAAGGAAGCGCTGGGTGGCAGGACCCCCACTCCTCATGCTCTGCCTTCTGTCCCGCCCCCCGTCCAGGTGCCCCATCTCTCCTTCTGCCAGCCCCCTTAAATGGCAGGGTTCTGTGGGCCTTGCCTCAGCTCTCCTCCTCCTCCAATATTCCAGGGCTCCTCCCTTTAGTAATCTGACCCTTTGGGAAATCTGAACACTCCTGGGCCCTCCTCAAATGTCTTGTTCAATGTGGGTCCCCGGCGAGGTCGACTGGCTCTTCCACAGGAGGGCTAGGTAGGACATTACCCTCCCTCCACTGGGGGGTCCAAGAAACGCTCTGCCCGCTGCTTTAGTTGCCAAAGAATGAGCCCCTCTTCTCCCTGGGCTGGTGACAGCTCTGTCCCAATCCTTATCACACTGCTGGCTCAGCTCTGGTCCTGCCTGGGGCCGGCCAGGTCCCAAAGCCAGAGCAGGTGAGCTGAGCAGGTACTGGAGCCTGGGCTACCGGGGAAGAAGCAGCCGCTCGGGACAAAGCTACCCACCGCCCAGGGCCACCCCCATGGTGTGTGACCTGTGCGGTTGCCCACGGCCTGTACTCACAAGGACCTACGCTTTACTCAGCTGGCTCAGTCAGTGGAGCAGGCGGCTCTTGATCTCGGGGTTGTGAGTTTGAGCCGCATGTTGGGGACAGAGTTTACTTTTAAAAAATAAGGGGGGGGCTGCACTTGGCTTAATGCTCTGCTCTCACCAGCTAGAAATTATCAATACATCAGAATAAGACACCCCATGTTTTCATCTCGGGCTCTGCGAATCCGACAGCCCGTCCTCTGCCACCTGCTGTCCTTGAGTCTCAAGAGCTCCCTCTCCTGGCTTTTTGTCACCAAAGTCTCAGAAAAACAGCGCATCACGGCTGTGGCACTGGCCCCAGCACTTACTCGCCCCATCTGCGATTCCTTGCCAGCCACCTTCCTAAAGAGTGGTGGCCAACCCCCAGCTGAACTGAACTCTTTTGGGGACAAAATGTGGCCTGACGTGACCTGCGGCTACTTGGAGACCTGACTTGATGTGATGCCCGTGTGTTCTGCTGCAGAAACGATACCGTTCGATTATGGGATGCTGCCCAGACCCCGCACCCCGCCACGGGGCCGACGCACAGATTCTGAACCACATCTGGTCCAAAGAGGTTCAGGAATGAGACTGTGGGCCTGTCTTCGCTCATTTAGACCTCATGCTCTCCTGTGAGGGAGGCGCATTGTTAGGCTTATTTAACAGATGAGCCTGCTAAGGCCCAGAGAGGTTAAGAAATCTGCCTTAGGTCACACAGCTAGGAAAGAGGGAGCGCGTGGATTTGAACCCCGGGCACTGTGGCTCAGCAATCTGTGCTCTCCATTGCTGTCCTGGATTTTTCGAGGCTTCCTGAGGGAGAGCACTCAGATGCACACTCTCCGTCCAGTTATACGGGGAGTACGACTTGCCCTGACTCGTGGGGCCTCTGTTATTTCTGGGCCACCGAGGTAGGGATGAAAGATCTCTGGAAGCCCAGAGCTGTGGGTCCCACCCTGCTGAGCCACCACAGAGCTGTGCCCCAGGGAGGTCCTGCCTCCCCTCTGGGGCACTGTGAGGGTGAAAGTGCCCAATAGTTGAGGAACTCCTCCAAAAAAAAAAAAAAAGTCTCCTTCCCAACTTGGAGAATTCTTTCCTCTCGGCGGCTTCTGCCCTTCCCCCAACACCACCCCCCAAGGCACCTTCAGGGGTGCTAATCGCCTCAAGCAGCTCAGGCTGTGAAAAACAAATGAGGAAGAAAGCTTCCCTCCAGGTCAACATTAGCTTAAGAAACTTCTTGTCCCGGGGAAGGAGGAAAATAAAGCAAGACCTAAGCCTTCTCGAATTTTCTCTGGCCATTCCCTCTGCCCTGGTCACTCCTGCCTTGATGATGCCTGGGTGGCTTGCCCTCACCACTTTCAGGTCTCAGACCAAATGTCCCCTCCAGACCCCCGCCCCTGCCCCCACTTCCCTGCTTGCTTTTGCTCTGAAGCGCCTGTCGCCTTCTGGCTCTTCTCTCGAACAGAATTACTTATTACTTTTCTGTAGCGATCTCTCTAGATTGTAAACCTGACAAGGGGGGGGGGGTGTCGTGGACGAGTTTACCCTGTTGCTTACACCGCCTGTCCCCGGAACCGGTATGCCTCCTCAGATTTGGGGGTGTCTCCGCCCCCAACCCCTTTCTCTTGCACCCTTTTTCTACCCCCTCCCTACAGCCTAATTTGAAACGCGATGTCCCTGTCCCGACTCCTGCCCAGGCTCGGCCCTCCACGGTGGTGCAGGGGGGTCCCCCGGAACCAGAATCACAGATTGTCCTGGCTGCGCCCTCCCGACCCCCAGGACAGGCTCCCGCCAGCAGGGGGGCCCCCAAATCCCCGTCAGGGTCAGGTCCACGCAGCGCCTCAATAAGCACATGCAAAGCCCTAGGCTCCCGAGACCCCTGCTCTCCTCAGCGGGAGGGGGTGGAAAGCGTTATTTTTCTAGTCAGAATCAGTGGGTCCCTAATGGTTGACAGCCACATTGGCATGAAAATTTCGTCACTGAAGTGTTGAGGCCTCGCAGGAAACTGGCCACGGGGACGTCGGCTTTGAGCTCTGTCCCTGTCTCCCTCGGGGTCCCTGCTCTCTCCCTCCAACGTGGGACGAGGGAGGCCCAGGGATTCTGCCTCCTCACTTCCTTCCCCACCGTCTTAGAAAGCCGCCCGATTCTTTGGGGTTCCCGGTGGCCGCCCAGATCCTTCCAAAAGGCAAGTGACTCACCTTAATGCTCAGTTTACCCACAGCTGACAGAAGGGTCCAGAAGGGAGGGGGTCCCCCCGCCTGGCAGGTCAGCCCCTTCCCTTCCCGATGGACCGCACCACCACGTGGTGGGCTGAGCCCGGCCGGCCTACAGCCTGCCTGCCTGCTGTGGGGAGTCGGTGGGGCAGGGGTCTGAGTGTCAGTGCAGCGGGGACCCCAGACCCAGGAAGCCCGTGGGGCCGCTGTCCCATCCTACCTGCCTTGAGCCTCCTGGGCCAGCATGCTTGGGGCTGCCCAGTTCCAGGCCCCCCTGGGGCGACATCCCTCACGTCCCACACAGTCCTGGGTGGCGTGGCTGGCTGGGGTCCCTGCGGGGAGAGCGTGGCTGTGGTTGGCGAGGGGACTGGGGCGGGGGTGGGGGTGGGGGGGAGCGGTGGTGGTGTTGGATTCTGCGGGCTCTGCTCTGAGCTCCCGCCCAGAACCCCCACTAGCCTGAGGCCTGACAACAGCCACTCAGCGCTCACTCCTGAGAGCCCACGCGGCCGCCAAGCTCCTGCGGGAGGGAAGAACACGTGAGGAGCTAACTGCAGGGGACACGCTCTTCTTGGGTGCAGGTTTGGCCAACATTAGGGGCAAAGGGTGGGGTGCGTGCAAAAAAGCCAGGGAAGAGGAGCCTGGGTCCCAGATGGACCCCCTCACGGCCCAGGCATGGGGGCCTAACGATGGGTCTGGTGGGAGCACAGCTAGACTCTGCTCCTTAAAGGGGGGTGGGAGTGGGCTCTGGCTCCCAGAGGGGTAGGGGCTAAGGGCTGGACATCTGGGTTCCCAGATGGGCAGGGGCCGGCTTCTGGATCCTCCAGGAACACCGGGGGACTCGCGGCCTGGCTGTCCAAAGTGCTAAGGGCCAGAAAATGGTACCCCGTGAACCACCCAGGCAAGAAAGGAGAGGTAGGAGATGGGGGCTCGGTCCTTAACGAGGCTGGCGCTAAGGGACAGGGCAAATGCCCGGGGCCGCAAGTGGACAAAATGGCGCCAGGCTCATTGGGAGGGGCGGAGGGTGATGCCCAAAATCCGGGGCCCAGGGAGGTTGTCTCTGCACGCGGCAACCGCAGTGGGGACACTGAGGGCTGTGAAATCAGGCTGGGGGCGTTTGTGACCCCAGCTGCACCCCCAGATGCCTCACAGACTCCCAGCCGGGAGCAAGCCAGGGGCGTGGACAGTGGGGCCCAGAAAAGGCCCCAAGGCCCCCAAACCTGAGGAAGTTCCTCATTAGGGGCTGCCAGCCCTGGAAGGGGAAGATGGGGGGAGGAGGACTTTCAGCAGTAAGTCCTTCCTAGCCCCTGCCATCCCGGGGTCTGGACTTCAGGCCCCCCTCGGACACCCTGGCATCTGGCCCTGCCCTGCCCTGCCTCTCTTTCTGCCCCCACCCTCGCCGGCACCTGCCACCCCCCACATCTGCTCCCCTTTCTAATCTGGGGACCTTAGGGTGGGTAGAGAATGCGGGGGTTCCGCTCTCCTGACCCTGAGGCCTAGGATGGCAGGTGGGAGTGGGGAGGGCTGAGATTATCAGAAAGTCCTCCGAAACTTAAGGACAGGGTCCTCCCACCCCGAATTCTAAGGGGGACTCAGGCATCTGCTTTCCTAACCCCCCTCTCCAGCTCCAGAGTGACCCAGGCTTCTAGTCCCCGCATGACCCCCTCCGGTTCCTTAGCACAGTTCTCTGGGCTTTGCACCCGGGTGGGAAAGGGTTAAGGCTGGGTGGAGGCTGGGGGTGGGTGGCAGCGGAGGAGGCTGCTGGGTTGTTTGGCGATAATCCCCCTCCGTGCCCTGGGTGTGGAGAACAAGGTTAGGGCCCCACGTGGGAAAGGGCCTCTGCTCTGATCCTCGTGGGCCAGGGGCCTGGCCTCCCGCTTCTGATGCCCCGCAAGCCCCTCCCCCGCTTCCCCTCCCCGCCTCCCCACCGACCAGGCTAGCAAGGCTCTCTGTTCTCCTCTTGCTCCCTGGGGGTGTCTCTGAGCCCCCAGGTCTGTCTCATCTGCCTGTCTGTCTGTCCTGGCCCCAGGGTCCCTGGGACTCCATTCCCGCCCCCCCGCCCCAACTCCCTGTGGATCTGGGTGTCCAGCCACAATCTGTCTGGGCCTTCCAGCCTCCCCTTATGCTCGGTCCTCTCTCCTCATGGTTCCTTCTCTGCACCTGTCCCTTCCCTTCGACTTGGGTCCCCTCCTCTCCGTCTGTCTCTGCTGTCCATGCCTCTGTCCCTTTCTCTATTTCTTTGTCTCTGCTCTTCTTCATCTGTCTCTAAGTCCCCCTCCCCGCTGTGGTCTGTCTAGGTTTCTCCATCTGTCCCCACCCCTTGCCCTCTCCCCAGGGCCCCCACCCCTCGACACTGACGATAGCTCTGGGGTGTTAAGCTTCGGATTAGTTCAGGCAAAATTCTCAATTTTGCTTGCGTTCTTTTCCCTTTGGGTTATGTAAACAGTAATTCTCCCCAGATGGAACTATTTTCCTCGCTTAGAAGCAGCCGGGGAGGGGGCTTGGGCAGGGCTGGGGGTGGAATGCCAGGGGTTCCTCAGAGAGCCTGGGGGCGGGGACCGGGGTGGTGGCCGACCCATGAGGGCAGCCTGAGGCCCTCAGCCTGATCACTCCTCTCCTCTCCAGGTACTTGCTCTGCTAGGACCATGCCCGTGACCTTTGCCCTCTTGCTCCTCCTGAGCCAGGCCACCACCGCAGACCCATGTTACCATCCAGGTGGCCGCCCCCGCTTCTGCCTCCCACCAGTGACCCGGCTGGCTGGCATGGCGGCCTCCTGTCCCCAGGCCTGTGCCCTCTCCCTGGGGGCGGACCTCAGCCCCCGGGCCACCTGCAATGGCAGTCTAACCCTGGCCCTGGGTGGCCCCTTCCTCCTGACGTCCATCAGCCTGCGCTTCTGCACCCCAGGATCCCCAGCCCTGGTCCTGTCTGCCGCCTGGGCCACCGGAGGTCCCTGGAGATCGCTGTGGCGCAGACCCGCCTGGCCTGGGGCCTTGGGGGGCCCCGAGAAGGTGACCTTCCGAGCCCCACCGGGCCCTAAATCCAGCGTGGTGGTCAGTCACCTCCGCATGGAGTTCGGGGGCCGGGCGGGGCTGGCGGCGGCTGGAGTGAGGGGCCGCTGCCAATGCCACGGCCACGCAGCCCGCTGTGCCGCCCGCGCCCGGCCCCCCCGCTGTCGCTGCCGCCACCACACCACCGGCCCCGGGTGCGAGAGTTGCCGCCCGTCCCATCGAGACTGGCCCTGGCGGCCTGCCACGCCCTGGCACCCCCACCCTTGCCTGCGTGAGTCCTGGGCCCCCCTCTTCCTGCCCTCACCCACCCCCAGCCCGGCCCCCGCCCGACTCTCCAGCAGATGGTCCCTGGTCCCCACGGGCAGGGTGCTCTCCCCCTCCCTAGGGCGCCTTGCTCCTCGCTTCACCCCCACTGTTCCTGAGCTGGTTCCCTCTCTTCCCCTCCCCCACAGCCTCCCACCTGCACTCCACCTGCCTGCCCCAGTCCCTGCCGCCCGCCCCCCACATCCAGTCTCTGCCCCACACGCTATCAGATGCTGGTACGAATAACATTTCCTGCGTGAGCGTGGGGAGCAAGGCAGCAGGACCTCCCGATGCATCAGACCCACCACACGGGGGACGTATTTGCTCATTAAGTACATATGTACCGATCACCTGCTATGTACCAGGCGGGTTTTAGCATCAGGTCCGTTTCATAGACGAGGAGACTGAGTCTAGAGGTGAGAAGTCCCTTGCACAAGGACACACAGCTAGTGAGTGGCAGGTCCGAATCTGAGCTCAGGGAGTCCAGCTGGGGGGTGGGGGTGGGGGTGGGAGGGGGTCTTGGCTTTTCCCTGTCAAGCTCCTGTCAGGGGCCGTCACGCTAGGTGCTCTAGGGTGACAGATAGGCACAAAGGCTTGGCAGCGAGCCAGCCAGCCACCCTGGGCTCAAATCCCAGCTCCTTTGCTTCCCAGCTGTGTGACCACAGGCAAGTGACTTGACCTCTCTGTGCCTCCACCTCCTCGCCTGTAAAGTGGGGACAGTAAGAGCATTTCTTTCACAGGCTGTAGTGAACATCCAATGGGTCGATATGCACGCTTAGAATAAAGCTTAGTGTGGTACCTGGCACTGAAGAAGAGCTTGCTTCGCATCTACCAATGTTATCACTCCCCAGATGAAGAAGGGGGTCCCCCCGAGGGGATGCACCACTTGCCTTAAGGCTCAATGCCAGTAAGGGGCAGTGCGGGGCCTGGACTGAGGGAGACAGACCTTCCTAGATAATGGGCGATCCACGGGGCCATGGAGCTTAGACCAGTGCTCCCCAGGCCCAGTCCACACCCTCTCCCCTCCACCGTGTTTCCAGACCTGGAGCTCCCAGAGTCTGGGCCCTTCTCCATTGCTCCAGCAGCCCCTCCTCAGAGACAGCCCTCCTTCTTCCACACCAGCCCGCAGGCCTGGCTAGAGGCTCTGAGTGTGGTACCAGGCCCTGGGAAGTAGCTCTACTCTACCAACAGATAGACACACACACACACAAACACACACACACACCCCTCCTCTCCCTCCACCCTCCAATTCTTTACCCCCTCCCTCCTCTCTTTCTGCCCTGTCACGTGGAGTAACTTACAGCCCATCCCACCATCCTTGGCTCCCCACTCTGTCCTCATCCCCACCGGGGTCTTCCTAGACCCTCTGTCCCCACCACCTCTGGCCCATTCCCACCAGCCAGATCTGAGGCCCCTGTGGGGTGGGGGCTGGGAGGAGGGGAGACTCACATTGCCTGGGGGTGGGACTTGGTTCATCCTGGGCCTGGGCACGGCCTGGGAGCTGGGAAGGTTGTCCCTCTGAGGATCACGTTGCCCCAGGCTGAGCATGGCACTGGCCTCTGAACCTGGGTAAGAAGCCGACAGTGTTGGGATAAAGCAGGGTCTCGGACGGGGTGGGACCGAGTCCTGTGGCAGAGCTGCCGGCTTTATAGGCATGGTGCTCTGAACCCCTTCCCACCACCTGAGTCTTCCAGACGGAAGGTCTGGTCAGAAAGAATCCAAAGGCTGATTCTCCCCACCAATAACCTGAAGAGTACTGCTACCTCTTAAGGCCCACGACAAGCCTGGGCGAGAGGGGCTGAGCTCCCCACTGCACAGGAGGAAACCAAGGTTTAGGAAGGCGAGTCGTTCTTCCAAGAACACACAGATGCCTCGGCGTCATGACCTTCCCGCTGCTGGCCCTCTGTGTTCCCAGCACCTGTCAGCCCAGGCCTCCCGAACCCCTTGGGAGTCAGAAACTCCTTAAACCTCTCCCAAGAATGGTCCACGAAGCCCCTCCCGCAGCATCTCACTCAGAAACGCTGGCTAGAGACACAGATGCCTGGGCCCAGCTGAAGGCCTGGGGGTGGGCCCTGGAAGCTGTGTGGTTTCTTCTTAACGTTTCCCAGTAACTGAGAAGTAGTTTCCCAGTAACTGAGAAGTAGTTAAGGTTCGAGAGTGGCAGCAGCCCCACCGATCAGCGCTCTGCAGGAACACACGCGCGCACGTAAGCCGCCCAGAATCCTCACGCCAGCCGTGGGCCCCGCTGCAGTCTGGTTGCCAAGAGCACGGACTCTGAAGCCAGAAGCCCTGGGTACTGAGCCTGCCTGGGACTGCCCCTGAGCTGCGTTACTTTGGGCAGATGACTTCGCCTCTCTGCCCCCGTTTTCGCATCGGTAAGATGCAAGCCTCACGGAGCCGCTCTGAGAAGGAAGCACGCCGAGCCCCGAACGCCTGCTCTGCGTCACAGGCCCTGGGTCGAGCCCTTTATATCCTTTCGGTTTCCTTTCAACCTCACGGAGTGGACACTGTGACTGCCGTCTTACAGAGGAGGAGACCGAGCTACAGAAAGAAGTCACTTGCCCAAGGAGCACAGTGGGGAGCAGACACGTGGGGGGGGGGCGCTGACCCCACAGCCCATGCTCCCGGAGTGGCCACTCCTCCCCGAGCCCCCAGTTTCACACAGACGTTCAGGAGGTCCGTTGGGCCCCTCAGGCTCGCCCACTCCAGTCCGGTGCACCCACCTTAAAGATGAGAATGAGGAGGGTCTGGGACCTCTGGGGGGGGGCGGGGGGGGCAAGCTGGGGACCGGGAAGGGAAGGTGGGAGCCTGACGCGCCTGCCCCGTCCTGTCTCTAGCCTGCTCCTGCAACCAGCACGCCCGACGCTGCAGGTTCAACTCGGAGCTCTTCCGGCTGTCCGGCGGCCGGAGCGGGGGTGTCTGTGAGCGGTGCCGTCACCACACGGCCGGGCGACACTGTCACTACTGCCAGCCGGGGTTCTGGAGGGACCCCAGCCAGCCCGTCACCAGCCGCAAGGCCTGCAGGGGTGAGTGCGGCCCGAAGCCTGGCCCAGAGGGAAAGGATGCAGGGCCCGACGCCTGGGGCTGGCGGGCGGGGGCGGGACTGGGAAGGAGCCTCTGGGGCCCTGACACCCCGGGTCCCCAGCTCCTCTCCTCATGTAGCCTGCCAGTGTCACCCGATCGGGGCCACGGGGGGCATCTGCAACCAAACCAGCGGGCAGTGCCCCTGCAAGTTAGGGGTCACCGGCCTCACATGCAACCGCTGTGGTCCCGGCTACCAGCAGAGCCGCTCTCCCCGGATGCCCTGCCAGCGTGAGTGACAAGGGGCGGGGCTGCAAGTCCTAAGTGGGATGGGAAGGGGACATCCCAGCTCTCCAGTGGGCAAGGATGCTGACGGCCGGGTCCCTGGGAGATGGGAGCTAGAGGCTGGAGGTCCGACTCTGGGCCTCTGGGGGAGGTGGGGACTCAAATTCCAGTCTCCTTGGTCTTGGGAAGGAGGAGGCTAGGAGCCTGGACTCCTGAGTCTGAGGGAGGAGGGGGCTGCGGGGGGGGTCTACATTCCTGGATCTGAAGGAAGAAGGGACTAGGGACCAACTCCAGGTCCTGGGAGGAGGAGGGCAAAGGGCGCTCGCACTCTTGGGCCATAAGGGAATAGACATGGGGTCTGGATGCCTGGATTCCTGTTGGGGTGGCGGCTGCAGGGGAGGGGGCACTAAGGTGAAATTTCTGCTTTGGTCTCTCTCAGGAATTCCAGAGGCAACAACCCCCCCTGCTACTACCCCTGGTGCTTACAGCTCCGGTAAGACAGGCTGGCGTGGAGAACGCTGACAGCAAGTGAGATCAGGGATGGGTTGCTTGGGCCCCCAGGTGGGGATCCAGGGGTGGCCCACTGAGCCAAGTCCCAAGGGGTGGGGCACCCCAGTTGTCCATCATAATGGAATGGGGGGATGGGCAGGGTTGGACGCTGCGGTCCAGGCCTCCGGAACCTACTGCAGACGACCTAACCCTCCCCAGACCCTCAATGTCAAAACTACTGCAATGTCTCGGATACCAGGGTACACATGAGCCTTCAGAGGTACTGCCAGCAGGACTACGGTGAGTGCCGGGGAGAAAAATGGCCGGCAGCTACCCAGGTGTTCTGATGATTCGCTCAGACCTTCTCCACCTTCAGCTCTCTCATCTTAAATGGGAAGGGGGACTCTAAAGGACCCTTCCTGATCTAGGACCTAATGGGACAGAAGACAAAGGGGGCAGGGGCAGTGGAGTGGGGGTGTTCCCTATCTTCCTATGTCTCTTCTTTCCCCATGTTCTTGGCCTCCTTCAGCCGCACATCTTTGAGGGAGAAAGGGGACCTCCTGGGGATGGAAGGACAAAGGGGTGCTGGTTGAATGGAGGGTCCTGCCTATCTTAGACACTTTCCGCCTCCCATCAGGGTCCCAAATCCTGAACCGTAGCCCCACTCCCCCAGAGGCTCGGCCCCAAAGTCCCCTAATTCATCAGGTCACACCAGTCCACACCAGCCCCATGACCTCAGGGCCTATGCCCTCAGGTAACTCAGATCTCTTAGATACTCAGGGGTGCAGCCCAGCCCTTGAATCCAGACCAGCCTGTGACTTCCCTCAATGGTATAAGACCCCAGGCCTCTCTTCTCTGAGAATCATCATCTGGCCACTGGTCTAGGACCTGGAAGATGGAAACTTCTCGTCCTGCCTCCCACAGGGATCTTCTGCCCCATAGACTTAGCTTGTGAGCCAGAGTCCTGCCCCCAACACGTCTCACCTCACCCCTTCAGAGAGCACATGTTTCTGAATCACCACCAGTATGACCTCAACCCTCAGGTTCTAGGTTCTGACCTCCTTCTGGCCCCCAGATTCGTCCCAGAGCCCCTCCCTGAGCAATACCCTTTTCCAAGGGCTCTGCTTCTGACATCTTTTGACTCTGCCACGTTCAAGACCCTAGACCTGCCTCTTCTGCCTTGTTCCCAGCCACACACACTGTAGCGTCCCCCTAGTCAACCCTCCCCACACTTTAGGTCATTTTGGCATCTAATGCTCCCAGTATAAACCCCAACCAAAGCGTCCCCACATGGCGTGTCCCATGTTCCCAGGCTCCTCTCTCTGTCTGGCCTCCCCTCCACAGGAGGAGCCCTCCATCGTCCCACCCTTCCTGATCACAATCCTGGCACCCCACCTCACACTCCGTAAGCCCTGCCCTCCTTGCCTCGACCAAGTCTCCTCCAGCAGGTTCCAGCACTCACGACACAGGGCCAGACCCCCAGACCTCTCACCCTCAAACGTCTAAGGTCTCTCTCCTCCCTGAAGGGTATCCTGGGAGCCCACCCCCGGGTCTTGCCCCCCACCTCCCCACCGTGCGGACCCCGCGTGACGCCGGAGGCTCCCCCAGCCCGGGCCTGACGGCAACGCTCCCCGCAGTTCTCCGCGCGCAGGTGCTGGCGTCGGAGGCGGCGGGCCCGGCGTGGCAGCGGCTGGCTGTGCGCGTGCTGGCCGTGTACAAGCAGCGGGCGCGGCCGCTGCGCCGCGGCGGCCAGGACGCCTGGGTGCCCCGCGCCGACCTGGCCTGCGGCTGCTTGCGCCTGCAGCCCGACACCGACTACCTGCTGCTGGGCAGCGCGGCCGGCCGCCCCGACCCCGCGCGCCTGGTCCTCGACCGCCACGGCCTCGCGCTGCCCTGGAGGCCACGCTGGGCCCGGCCTCTGCGGCGGCTGCAGCTGGAGGAGCGCGCCGGGGGCTGCCGCGGCCTGCGGCCCCCCGCCCCAAGCCCAGGGCCGGAGCACCAGAGCCGAACCTGGGCGCCTCCGCTGCCGCCGGAGGAACTCGGGAGCGACCGTGAGGTGAGCCTTCCACTTCGACGGCGCGTCCCTCAGCGAGCCAATCAGACGCCGTGGAGCCCCTGACGTCACTGGCACGCGCCAGCACCGTGCAGGCCGAGGGACAACCCCACCCCCACCCCCACCTCCACCCCGCAAGGCGGCAAAACGCCCGCAAGGCTTCTGGCGTCGGGCCAGGACTTTTGGCCTGTGACCTGCGCGGCTAGTCCCCTAATAAAGTCTTAAATCTTGGGGGAATTTCGGCTACAGCACCCGATATGTGCTGGGAGGGTCTCGGAGAGGCAGATGAAGTAAACCTACGCACCCGACGGACGGCTGTGCTCCCCGACAAAACGCCTGATCCAGTCGAAGAGCTGGTATGACATCCCTGCGCGCTAGTGAGATCTGTGTTGCCTGGCGATTGGCCAGAAGCCAGTGGGAGGGAGGGTGGAGAGAAAAAGGCGGGAAATGCGCCGAAGGAGAGGACAGCGGTGCCAGATTTCCAGAAAGTTCCACACTTAGGCACTTTGTGTTCCTGATGGGTCCTAGGATAGCCTCTGAGAAAGGAATAAAGGGACTTGGAGTGAATGTCCAAAGAGGGTTCCGACCCAGCTTCATCTGGTCTTGGAAGTGCAGCCTAAACGCTTTCCTGAGAGAATAGCCAATTGGGAGCCACAGAGTGGTATGGCATCACTTGGTGCTGAGCAGAATTCTACTCCCGCCCAACAGCTGGGTACCTACAGGCCAGAGGAGTGGAGCTAAAAAAAGCAGTAAGTACTAGGGCATGGAAGGTTGTCATGGCCTAGGACCTTCCTTGCCACCCTGACCTCTGCCCCCTGCAGCCGCAATGGACAACACCATTTCAAATTTGGGTGATCTTTGCAGGAGAGTCCCTGAGGGAGTACTTTGAGGGATTCTCAGAGGAAGGGATATGACTTAGGGTCCATTTGGGCCTAGAGGGCAACGTTGTTCCTTCCCCGAGAGGAAAGTGGGCCTCTCCACCAATGGAGAGTCAGGATGGGCCATGATGTCATAGGGTACTAGAAAGAGAACAGGCCCTCCAGTCAAGGTTCTGCTATGCAACTTATGAGACTGAAAGAGGCAGGAAATAGCTTCCAGGAGGTGACTGTTTAATCCCCAAGCCACCGATAATATCCTGTATCTGGGAAACTTGTCTTTGGCTTCAGCTGGGTCCAGGTTGGGGGCATCTCTGAAGCAGGAGTTAGGAGTCTTTAAGGGATTTCCCTTTTCTTTTCTTTCTTTCTTTCTTTTTTTAGAGATTTTATTTACTTTAGACACAGAGAGAGAGTATGGGGGGAGGGACTGAGGGGGAAGGAGAAGGAGAGAATTTCAAGCAGACTCACGCTGAATGTGGAGCCTGAGGTGGGGCTCGATCTCATGACCCTGGGATCATGACCTGAGCCGAAACCAAGAGTTGGATGCTCAACGAACTGAGCCATCCAGGCGCCCCTCTTTAAGGGATTTTCTAAGAAGCCTTCTCTGTTCCAGCAAAACTATATTCCTTGTCTTTTTCCATCCTCTCTTGAAGCCAATTTAGTGGGGCATTTGCCTCCCCCCCCATTCCCCCCACCCCCGCATGTCCTGTCCATCAGCAAATCCTTTCATTCAGAATAAAATCCAAAGCCCTTTCCCTGCCCTACAGGGCCCTACATGATCTACTCCCACCATATAACTGACCTTACCTCCTACAACTCCCCCTCATTCGCACCTCTTTAGCCACACTGACCTCCTTCCTGTTCCTTTAAAAATCAAGCTCACTTGCCCCAGGGCCTTTGCGCTTGCTGTTCTCTCTTCCTGGGATGCACTTCCTCATATAACAGCAAGCTAGTGCCTGTACTTCATTGAGATCTTCCATTAATCAGGTTCAGCTAGCTCTGTTGGAATGATACAATGAAAATTGATTTCTTGGTCGTGTATGTGTCCCAGACAAGTCACTAGGGAATGGTTCTCCACAGAGTCATTCAAGGACTCAGGCTGAGAGACATCTACCATCTTATCACTGCACCAAATGCAACCCATGGCATCTTGATCACTGCAGCAGGGAGAGAGAGAACTGAATGGTCCCACGCAAGAAATAAATGCTTTGGCCCAGGAACGACTTCAGCACTTCCATTCCTAGCTCATTGCTCAGGAATACTCACATGGTTTCACCTAAGCATGAAGCTGGGGAAGTAGAATTCTCTTATGTGCCTGGAAAGAGAGAAGAACCAGTGTATTAGTTTTCTATTGCTGCCATAACAAATTACCACAAACTCAGCAAGTGAAACGATATAAATTTATTATCCTGCAGTTCTTTTTTTTTTTTTTTCCTTCGGTTCCTCGGTTGCACTGGCCACAGTTCAAGTGGCTGGTGGCTAGCACAGTGGACAGAGCAGATACAGGACATTTTCCCACCATCACGGAAAGTTCTACCGGACGGTGCCGCTCGAGAGACCATTTTCATGAAGGGCATAAACTCCGAAGCCAGGCTGCCTGGGTTCGAATCTCTCCGTGTCCCTCAGTTCTCTCATCTGTAAAATTGGGATGATTACAATGATAGGAAGTAACTCACAGGGCATATTATTATTATTATTATTATTATTATTATTATTATTATTTTGAGATTTTATTTTATTTTTTTAAAGATTTTATTTATTTATTTGACAGAGACACAGCGAGAGAGGGAACACAAGCAGGGGGAGTGGGAGAGGGAGAAGCAGGCTTCCTGCGAAGCAGGGAGCCCGATGTGGGGCTCGATCCTAGGACCCTGAGATCATGACCTGAGCCGAAGGCAGACGCTTAACGACTGAGCCACCCAGGCGCCCCTTATTTTGAGATTTTATTTTTAAGCAATCTCTACACCCAGTGTGGGCCTGGAACCCACAACCCTGAGACCAAGAGTAGCCCTTTCCACTGACTGGGCCAGGCAGGTGCCTCATGGCATATTATGAGGATTAAAAGAGTTACTTTGTGGTTTAACAGGCTTAGAACAGTGCCTGGCACAGAGGAAGAGCCATTTGAGTTTGTTACTATTCAAGTGTCTGGTGGCCACACCTCCCCCAGGAGAGCAGAGCCCAGAAGGCGAGAATACCGATCTGCAGAATTTGCTGGCTTCCCTGAGGGAGTGGTGAGGAGGTGAAGAGGGGCTGTGGGAGCCACCAAGGCCTGGAGAGCCCTGGCCTTCTTGCCTCCCACCCAGGGGCCAGGGAGGTAGAAGATGAAAGTGAGGAGCAGGGCGAGCCCCATATGTTCCCCATGACCCAAACTTTGTTCCCAGCAACCGAGACAAATAGGCATGAAATCCACATCTGGGACCCACCTCCGGCCTGGCCTTTCCCTCCGCCTCCGGGCATCAAGCCCAGTCTGTGTGCTCTGATGGGGGCTCAGGGTCAGGTGGCTTCCAGAGCTCTGAGGAGGCTCCTGCCCACCTCACCACTGAGGCTTTCTGGAAAAGCTGATGGCTTTCTGGAAAAGCAGACTCCTGAAGTACATAAGAGCCTGCGGAAGAATTTGCCCAGCAGAGGAGAGAAAAGAGAACCCCAGTTAGAGGCAACAGTTTGTTCAAAGGTCTGGAAGCTCAAGGGCCTGGTATGGTTAGAGAAGAGAGATGAGGCTGGGGATTGGTGGTAGCCAAGGCTTGTGAGGCCTCTTAAGGCCAGGCTAACGGCCTGTGTGTTTCTCCTGGGGGGTGGGCACTGGGGAGCCATGGGAGGTCTCTGAGCACCAGAGGGGGAGGGTCAGTCCTCTGTGAGAAAAAAATCAGTGATATGGGAGCTCCTGGCTGGCTAAGTCCGAAGAGCATGCAACTCTTGATCTTGGGGTTGTGAGGTGCAGGGATTACCTAAATAAATAAAACACTTAAAAAAAATAAAACCAAAACTCCCACAGTGTTATGGTCAATCACTGAGGTGTCTCAGTTCACTGGGAGAGCCCGGAGAGGGCTGTGAACCTAGCCTGGAGATCAGGAAATGTCTCTTAGAGAGAATGATATTTGAGGTAGGTCTTGAAGGACAGATGAAGGATTTGGTCCCCAAGAGAAAGGCTGAGGGGCCGGTGCGTCCAGGGGAGCTGGGCATCAATGAGACCGCTGTGGCTAGAGCAGAGGCAAGGTGAACTCTGGGATCTATGAGGGGTACACTGGAGAGGGAGGAGAGTCTGAGAGGGGAAGGCCAGGGTGGGGGAAAGGATGAGTTTTGAGCTGGGGCCCCGGTTATGGGGACAGAAAAAGAGTTAGGAAAACGTCACCTCCACCTGCAAAGCCTTCCTTTTAACCCCCGTGCAGGAATTTTTTTCTCACCCGTTTCTGAATGCCCGCTTCACTCACTTATTTGTTTATTCAACATATACTCCTGAGGCGCCTGGGTGTCTCAGTTGGTTAAGGGTCCGACTCCTGAACTCAGCTCAGGTGTTGATCTCAGTTTCGTGAGTTCGAGCTCCATGCTGGGCTCCACGATGGGTGTGGAGCCTACTTAAAAAAACAAAACAAAACAAAAGAAAGCAAATGCAAAAAACATATTCTCCTGAGGTCTCCCTGGGAAATGCTGGGATGGAGACCTGAGTCAGACCCAGGACTTGCCCTGCAGGGACTCCCCGTCTGGGAGGCTGTGCCAGGGGACAGACCTATACACAGTCACATCTGATGCGATGTGTAATAATGGAGGCAGCAGGGGGCCTTGTCTGTTAGATCAGAGAAGACTTCCTGGAGGAGGTGAGGCCCTCGCTGGGCCTTGCAGGAAATCCAGTTGTCTCCCAGCAGACAGGAGGGGGCCAAAGTCTCTGGGGAGACACATCGGGAGCATCATCTCATTTGATTGTGTTTGATTTCTCTCCTGAGGATCCCCATGTACGCTCTGGGGGGCGATGCCGGGGACCCAGAGATGGGTCAGGCCTGGGCCCTTGAGGGAGGACACAGAGTGCCTCCCCTAATGGGATCTGTGGGCCAATGGAGGTAGCACAGGGCATTAGGAATGTGCACAGCAGGCACTGACCCAGCTTGGGGTGGGGTGGGGGGAGTCAGGGAGGGCTTCCTGGAGGAGGAGAGCCAACTTGTAGGTAGAACCTGCTCTTCCTGCACTGTCAGTCTTGTCTGTCTCTCCCTCCATGTATCTCTGGCTCCTTCATTGTCTCTGTCTCTGAAAAGTTCCACGTCTTTCTCATTCTTTCTCCCCACCCCCGGGGTCGGCTGCTGTAAACAATGACCACAAACTGCACAGCTTAAAACAACAGCAATTTATTCTCTCACAGTCCTGGAGGCCGGAAGTCCCAAATCAAGGCGTGAGCAGGGCCACAGTCCCTCTGAAGGCTGCAGGAGAGGATCCTTGCATCTCGCAGCTTCTGGTGGCTCCTGGCATTCCCCAGCTTGTGGCAGGACTACACCAGCCCCTGCCTCTGTCTTCACATTGTCCTCTCGAATCTCCCTCCGCCTTTCTCTTATAAGGACGTTTGTCATTGTGATTTAGGGTCCAGCCAGATAATGCAGGATGATAACTTAGTTACATCTGCAAAAACCTTTTTGCCAAATTAGGTCCCATTCTGGGTGCATTAGGTTCTGGGTGCATTTTTTGGTGTGTGTTGGGGGGCACCATTCAACCTACGCCTACCCCTACACCTACCCAACCTACGCCTACCATTCAACCTACCCATCTTGGAAGAGTCACTTCCCTCTCTGACCAGCCTCAGTGTTCTATCTGTACAATGGGGCTAATCCTAACCCCACCACCTCCTGGGGCCGCTTTGAGCACGTGGCATGGCCCAGCGTCTAGGAAATTCTGCCCAGGATGGCTGCCATTTCTTCCTGATTTATTACTCCATCAGAGCTGGGCCCCCCCGCCACTCTTCCTGCCACGTTCCCCACTTCTCTGCACGGACGCCTCCATCGTGTTTTCTTCATCCCTCTTTGCTCTCTTTTCCTCCCCTGCTCCGCCACTTCCTACCTGTATAACTCTAGGCAAGTCACCTGCACTCTCTGACACTTGGTTTCCCCATCTGTAAAATGGGATAACAGCCTCTCCTTCATCGGGCGGCTGTGAAGATGACATGCATGAATTCACAGAAAGTGCTCAGAACTTTGCCTGGGTACTTTATGTATTACTGTAATTTATGACGATGATGACGATGATGATGTTATTGCTGTTGTTTTCTTTGTTTTGCCTCTTTTCCCTGTCTCCACGGTTCCCTCCCTCTCCAAGCTTCTCTCTCCATATATTACTGCGTTTCTGAGTAAGTCTCACTGACCTGTAAGCCTCAGGGGTCTGTAAGGGTCCGTCTCTCCCCATTGTTCAGTCTCCCTCTTCTCCCCCAACAATGATGGCTTCTTTTTTTTTAAAGTAAAATCTTGATTTTTTTTTTTTCAGATTTATTTACTTATTTGAGAGAGAGCATGAGAGCGCACGGGAGGGGGGGGGGGTCTGGGTGGGGGGAGAGGGAGAGAAAAAATCCCAAGCAGACTTTCCACCAAGCGTGGAGCCTGACACGGGGCTCGGCAGGGGGCTTGATCCCATGACCCTGAGATCATGACCCGAGCCAAAACCAAGAGTTGGATGCTCGACTCACTGAGCCACCCAGGGGGCCCCCAACCTGTGATGGTTTTAAAACAAGCCTATAGGGGCGCCTGGGTGGCTCAGTCGGTTAAGCATCTGCCTTCAGCTCAGGTGATGATCCCAGGGTCCTGCTCCAGGCTCCCTGCTCAGCGGGGAGCCTGCTTCTCCATCTCCCACTCCCCCTGCTTGTGTTCCCTCTCTCTCTCAAATAAATAAATAAAATCTTAAAAAAAAACATTAAAAATAATAAAAAATAAAACAAGACTATAAATTCTTTGATACTCTTCTCTTCAAAAGGAGGAGCCTAATCTCTTTCCCTTTGAGTGTGGACCAGACTTAGTGACTCACTTCTGATGAATGGAATAAAACAGAAGTGATGGTGTGTGATTTTGGAGATTAGGTCCTATAAGACATCTCTCTCTCTCCCTCTCTAATCAGTCGCTCAGGGGGAGCCAGCAGCCATGTTATGAGGTCACACCAGCACCCCTATAGCTCTCAAGAGAGGCACAGCGATGAGGAGCTTGGACGAGCTCCTCAGCCCCGGTCGAGCCTCCAGGTGACTGCACCCTGACCAAGGGCCTAACTGGACCCTCACCAGAGGCCCCGAGCTGAACCCCCCCAGCTAAGCCACGCCCAAACTCCAAACCCTCAGACACGGTGAGACAATAAATGCTTGTTGCTCAAAGCCACTGAGTTTTGGGGTAATTTGTTACGTGGCCATGGATAAACAATACATACCTTTCTTGCGCTTTCTCTCTCTCCATTTCTGACTCTCTTTGGCTTTCTCTGTCCCCTCCATCTCTAGGGCCTTTGAATGCCCATTCTCAATTCTCTATCTGAATGCCTGTCTTTCTGACTCTACGCTCTCCCTTGATGTCACTTGGTCTGGTTCTGGGTCTCTCTCCCTCTCTCTGGCTCTCTGGGTCTCTGCCATCTCTTCCTCTCTGGTGATCTCTCTTTCTCTGCATGAGGGTCTCTACTCTGTGTGCGTGTGTGTCTGTCTGCCTCTTTCTCTGTGTTTCTACGGCTCTCTCTTTGGGGTTGGCTGTGTCTCTGGCTTTGGATCTCTTCTCGGTTTCTGTCTCCCCACCGCCACCCCCCTGGCCTGGCAGCTTGTTCTTGCGTCTCTGACCGGCGGGGTGGCTGTCTCTGCTCCTATGGCTAAGTGTGTGTCTCTGTATTTCTCTCTCTGCCTCCATCAGTACCTCTCCCTCTCTCTCTATCACTCTACCCGTATCTCCCTCTCACTGTGTGTCTCGGTCTCTCTCCTCGCCCCGCCGCCGCTACCCGCCCCTCTCCAGCACGCTGCGTCCCTCCGCCACGGCACCCCGCATCCACCTCAGGCTCCCCTTCCCTTCCTAAGCCTCTGCAGTTCTCCGACTTCACCTCCGGCTGCCTCGCCTCGGCTTCCCGGCTCCTCCTCCCGGCGCTCGGTCCCTCTCCAGGTCTCTGCCTCCCCCTCCTGGTCAGCTGCCCGCACCGCACCCCGGTCTCCCCGGGGATCCCTCAGCCCCGTTAAGGCGGCCCCCAGCCGAGGCCGACTGGAGCATTGGGCGGGGGCTGCAGGCTCTGCTGCAGGCTCCAACCCGGGCCCCCACGAGCCGGGGGACCGCGGATCTTCCGGCGCCGGCGGCCCCGAGCACCGAGACCTCGGAGGACTCCGCCAGCTCCACCTTAAGCGCCCCCCCCTCCCTTCTGCGGAGGATGGGAACTGCCAGCTCCCGGCCCCAGGTGTCCGGGCCACCCCCCCACCTCGGCCCCGGCACAGCTGGAAGCTGGGGATCAGCCCCCAATGACCCCTCCATCCTGCCCCTTGGGCACCCTCCTCCCACCAGTCCGAGGAGTGTTTGCTGCTGTGAGATCACCCGCCCCCCCAACAACAACGACAAAAAAATTAAATAACACCCAGAGAGAGATCAGAGAGGGAGGGGGAGGAGGAAGCAGGGACGAGGGAAGAGAGAGACGGAGAAACAGGAGAGGCAGAAGAGGAGGAGGTGGGGAGGCTGGGAGAGAAAGAAGCTGGAGACGAGGGAGGCCGGGAGGAGGAGAGAGAAGCAGGATGGAGACATGGGGTTAGGTGGCTCGGGGGAGCTGGAAGAAAAGAGAGCGAAGAGGGGGTGTGGATTAGAAACCAGGAGGTAACCTCGGGGAGAAGCAGGAGGCAGAGAAAGGAGTAGGAAGATCGGGAGGTAGAGGGAGATCGGAGGGTTGGGGAAAAGAGGAGAGGAAGGAGGAGAGGCACAGAGAGCGGGGAAAGCAGAGAGGAGTGGATTTGGGGGGTCTCAGTCCCCCGCTGCCTCAGTGTTTGGGGAACCGGACTCCCTGTAGGGAGGAGAGGCAGGCTGGAAGTCCTGGAGGGACAGGGTCCCACAGAAGGGGGAAGGAGGAGCTGAGAGAGGGGGCCAGGACATTGGGAAGGGGTCGCTCAGAGGCCTCCCAGGGATGGGGGTTGCAGCTCCTCTGAGCGCCCCTAAAGCGCTGGTACTCTGGGCCGCACTGGGGGCGGCAGGTAAGGCCCGGGGGTTGGGGCGTGAGCCCCTGAGGGAAAGGTGGGGGTGGGGTACCAGGGAGAGGGGTTCAGGCTGCTCTCTCCCCAGCTCACATTGGACCTGCACCTGACCCCGAGGACTGGTGGAGCTACAAGGATAATCTCCAAGGAAACTTCGTGCCAGGTGCAGCCAGGGCGGGGCCCAGGAATCGGGGCTGCCGGGTGCCTCCTTCCTCAAACCCAGGAGCCCTCTCCTCCTCTCAGGACCCAGGAGTCCCAGCCCCTTCCTTCCTTCTTCCCTCCCTCGGGAGTAGGGCCCAGCCTCTGAACCCCAGCAGCTCACCATGGAACATTATATATGCGCATTTCAAGTAGTGAGTGGGAGTGAGTGGAAGGAGGAGTGTGGGGGTGCAAGAGACAGTGTGTGTGTGGGTTTGCAGGGAAAAAGGCAGGTAGGTCTGGCTGCTGCTGGGAACCGGAGGTTCACTGGCCGGGTCCCCTGCTGTGTCCAGCCCTCTCCTGCAACTCCTCTCCCCAGTACATTCATTATCCAGCTGTGGGACAAGAGAGACTGAAAGAACTACAACTCCCACGGGCTCTGGGGCAGGCAGGCAGTGGATGAGTAGGCTGGCTGCCCTCCAGCCCGCTGGGAGTTGTAGTTCCTTCCCCCCAATGACTTAATGGCAAATAGGTTTGATTAAGGGGGGTGCTAGATGGTCTTTGGAAACTCCTCCAAGATTGTTCTAGGACCCAGGATTCTGGCTCAGCCCCCTCCTCCCTCAGACCCAGGAGTCCCCGTTCCCTGCCCTTCCTCTCCTGGGATCCGGGAGTCCAAAACACAGCCTTCTCGGCGGATCCCAGCCTTGGGATGCAGTCCCTATTTCTGACTCCCTATCCTCCCTGCCCCGCCCCTGCCTCCAGGGCCTCCCTTCTGGGGCCTGGTGAATGCAGCCTGGAGTCTGTGTGCTGTGGGGAAGCGGCAGAGCCCCGTGGATGTGGAGCTGAAGAGGGTCCTTTATGACCCCTTTCTGCCCCCACTGAGACTCAGCACTGGGGGAGAGAAGGTAAGGGGCCTGGTGGGAGGGGTTACCGAATCCTCTGGGGGTGGGCATGAGTAGGGGTGGGGTGCTGAGGTGGAAGGCCTGCCTGGGGTAAGGAGGGGTAGGCACTGGGTGGAAAGGAGGCTCCTTACACTCTAAAATGGATCACCTGTTCTTCCCTCCCCAAACATGGCTCCCTAGTTTTTCCATGTCTATAAAAGCAATGGTAACACAGACTGTTCCCCATGCCAGGCACGGTTTTAAAAGCTTGATCAGCTTGCTAATCCTCCCAGCCACCCCTTGAGATAGATGCTATTATTCCCCTTATTTTAAGGATGCAGAAACTCAGGCACAGAGAGATTGAGTTACTTGTCTGAGGTCACACAGCTAGAGTGTCAGCACTGGGATTCAAACACAGGCAGTGTGGTCCTAGCTCCAGGCTCTTGCCCACTCTGCAATCCCATTTCTTTTTTTTCTTTTTTAAGATTTTATTTATTTATTTGACAGAGAGAGAGACAGCGAGAGAGGGAACACAAGCAGGGGGAGTGGGAGAGGGAGAAGCAGGCTTCCCGATGAGCAGGGAGCCCGATGCAATGCGGGGCTCGATCCCAGGACCCCAGGACCATGACCCGAGCCGAAGGCAGACACTTAACGGCTAAGCCACCCAGGCACCCCGTGCAATCCCATTTCTTATAAGAGCTGGCATCCCTCTTCACTCAGCTGCCCCTGCCAAAAGCTGGAAGCTATTTCCAACCCGTTCTCGCCCTCATTCCCATGTCCAGTCTGGGTCCTTTTTAGTCTCCCTGCTAAATATCATTCAGATCTTGTCACTTTGTGTCTCCTCCACTGCCCCCACCATCATCTTGCACCTGGACTGGTGCGGTAGCCTGCTAGCTGGCCTGGTTCTCTGCCTACTGCAATCCATTCTCCACCCCACAGCTAGAGAGATGTTTAAAAACACAAAGCAGATCATACCACTCCCCTGCTCAAAATCTTTCTATTGAGATAAGTAATACTAACACTTAAACAGCAAGGTGTGAGATACATATATATGTATTTATTTATAATTATTTAAATAAAAATACAAAACATCCCATCATTGCCCACAAGGCCCTGCCATCTAGCTCCTATCACCTCTCCTTTGCTCACCAGGCGCTGGTCCCACTGGCCCCTGCACTAGCACGGAAACAGGCTACCTCAGGGCCTTTGCATTTGCTGTTTCCTCTTTCCAGAATGCCCTTCTCCCTGCTCTTTGCAACGAATTCCTACTTATCCTTTAGGTCTCCATTCAAATGTCACTTTCTCATGAAGGCCTTTCCTCATCCCACTACCCCTCACCCCAATCTAGGCTGGGTTTCCCATTTTACCTGAGAGCTCCCAGTTCTTTCCCACATGAGCATAAGATGTAATTAATTAAGCAGTTACTTATGTGATTCATTATTTATTGTCTGCCTCTGCTCCATTAGGACACGAGTTCCATGAGGCCCAGGGTTTTTGTCTACTTGTTCATTGCTCCCTTCCTGGCATCCATAGTACATAGTAGCAGCTCAATAAATATTTGTTAGTTGAATAAATTCACCGATATTGAGCACCGGTGTTCCAACTATGCTGAATGATTAAATGATTGATGGAAGCAGAAAATGTAGGAGTGGAACATAGGAGGGAAACGACTTTCCCTCTTTGTCCCTCTGACGGCTTCCACCTCTCCTGCAGCTCCAGGGAACGCTGTACAACACCGGCCGCCATGTCTCCTTCCTACCTGCACCCCGGCCCGTGGTCAATGTGTCTGGGGGTCCCCTCCTCTATAGCCACCGGCTTAGTGAGCTGCGACTGCTATTTGGAGCACGGGATGGAGCTGGCTCTGAACACCAGATCAACCACCAGGGCTTCTCTGCTGAGGTGGTGGCCACTGACCTCTGACCCTTGACCTTCACCCTGAGTTGACCCAATTCCTCCCCCCTCACCTTTCTCTTAATGCCTCACCCCACCCTCCTTCACAGAACTGCCCCCCCCCAAGCACTAATCTTTAACCTGACTTGGGACCCCAAGGGCCCAGGGCTGCACCCATTCTCTCCCTCCCCTTCTGCTGGGGGACCCCATTCTGTGCTCCCCTCCCAGGTGCAGCTCATCCACTTCAACCAAGAACTCTACGGGAACCTCAGCGCCGCCTCCCGGGGCCCCAATGGCCTGGCCATCCTCAGCCTCTTTGTCAATGTGAGCCCAGGCAAGATTCGGAGGGAGGGAGGGGCTGGGTGCCTGGAATTGGGTCTGGGGAAGAAGGAGTCTGGGAGGCTGAGATTCCTGGGTCCCTGGGGGAGGAAGGGACTGGGGGCTCGAACTTCTGGATTCCTACCTCCTTACCTCGTACCCCCACACAGGTGGCTGGCAGCTCGAACCCCTTCCTCAGCCGCCTCCTTAACCGTGACACCATCACCCGCATCTCCTACAAGAGTAAGTCGCTGGTGCATTGATGGTGGTGGCGGCGGGGGGACCAGTGTGTGCAAAGGAGGGAAGTTCAAGAGGGGTACTGCTCCTCACTCTAGCCCGATATTCCCGCAGATGATGCCTACTTTCTTCAAGACCTGAGCCTGGAGCTCCTGTTCCCCGAATCCTTTGGCTTCATCACTTATCAGGGCTCTCTCAGCACCCCGCCCTGCTCAGAGACTGTCACCTGGATCCTCATTGACCGGGCCCTCAATATCACCTCCCTCCAGGTGACCCTCTGTCTGCCCCCTCCACCCTTGCTAACCCATTCCCTGGCCTGGGCATCCCCCTTGGCCTCACCTACCCTCCTTCCTCCTTCCACGTCTGACTGCTAGCAGGTCACACAACCTTTGGGGGTGGGCTGGGGCCGAGTAAGACCCCGCCCACCTGCTCCAGGAGCAGGGCTTCCTCTGTGACCATTCACCAGGACAGTTTATTATTCACTCTCAGTTTCCCACCCCCTTCCGTGGCAGATGCACTCCCTGAGACTCCTGAGCCAGAATCCTCCGTCCCAGATCTTCCAGAGCCTCAGCGGTAACGGCCGGCCCCTGCAGCCCTTGGCCCATAGGGCCTTGAGGGGCAACAGGGACCCCCGGCACCCCGAGAGGCGCTGCCGAGGCCCCAACTACCGCCTGCATGGTATGGTCCAGTCTGCACCCCCTCCACACGTCTTGGTCTAACCCGCCTATGTGTCTCCCCTTCTTTTCTCAATATGATACAGTCCTACCCACCCCTTTGCTGTTTCTGTATGGTCCAGCCTCCTAAGCTCGCACTCGCTCGTTCTCTCTTCTAAGTATGTGTCACATGGTACAGTCCACCTCCACGCCACAGACCATTGCTGGTCCGTGATTTGTCTTTCCTTTTCACTGCTTGCAACTTGCTCTATTACCCGAGCTCCCTGGCTTCCCACCGGGCCTTGGTTTCTATTACGACGACTTTCCAAAATGGTACAGCCCGGATCCCTTCCCTGTTTTCCATGTGGTACAATCTCATGTTGTTCCGTAATCTGACACACACCCCCTTCCTGAAAATCAACATGGTACAATCCCCTTCCCTTTCTAAAGCCTTCCTGTGGTTTGACCCTGTGATCTCACGGCCACCTCTCTAGCTTCTCAACATGGTTTGCCTTCCCCCCCGCCCCAATGAATACCTTCACCTAGTTCAGTCTGATGCTGAAGCTGGACGTCCCTATTCCACCCTCCTGCTGGTTATAAACCCAGTGCCGGTCCAGAATCTGTTTCCCCAGCTTCTCGACCTGGTACATGCCGGGTTCCCCCTTCGCAGCCTCCTTGTGGTAGAGCCCTACGCGGCCCAGCCCCCGCCCTCTGCAAACCCTCTGCAGGGTCCAACCTGTCGTGCCCTAAACTAACGCTCCCCCGCCGGTGTCGTCTGTCTTACAGTGGATGGTGCCCCCCATGGTCGCTGAGACTCCCCACTGAGGACTGCGCCTGTCCTTTCCAAGTCTCCCCACACAGGGAGGGGAGTCACCCCCAAAACAAAGCTATTAAAGGGACAGAATACTTCCGGTTTCTTAGTGGTCTGATTCTAGGCGCGGCGGGGAAACATTTGGGTACCGAAGAACAGCAGCCTTCTTCTAGAAACCAATCTCCCTCTTCCTAAACCGCACTGCTCGGTTTTTTGGCTTCCTGTTTCCCAAAACCGTCGTTTAGATTGGCGGCTCCTTTAAGCGGCGCCTCTTTCACTCCCCCCAACTCACCCTCCCCATCGGGCAGCACGCGCAGAGCCATGTGCTTCCCCCTCCCGCCTGCCTCATTGGCCCGAACTGGGTCACGGTCCCGCCCCCAGTGCCGTCTCCCATTGGGCAAATGTAGGTCAGGGTCCCGCCTCCCACCTAAAGGCACGGCAACTTCACGCACTGAACCCCTCACGCGCCCTCCCGGGCCTTGGCGGATCCAGGGGTCCCATTGGCCGTGCGTCTCGAGGGGTCAAGACGCGATTGGCCCGCGCTTTCAGCCGGAGGGAGGCACGCGGCTGGGGTGCTTGGCCCAAGAGGCAGGCGGGGGCCGAGAGGAGGGGTGCGCGCAGTGGCGTCGGGTGTTTTGGTTTGGCTTTTTTTTTTTTTTCCGCGAAAGAAGTTTGCGTTGGCCACGCCTCAAGGCGGCCGCCTCCTCTTACCCCCTCCCCCGCCCCTCCGCGCACACCTCTTGGTGCAGATTGCAAAGCGCCTTCCGCTGAGAGAGCTGCAGATTTTGCAAGATCCAGGCTCGCCCACCTTGTAGAAGGAGCGCCTTGTGTCCCCTTGAACTCTGGGTTGCAAAGAGCCGGCTGCCTGATTTGATCAGCCCCTCACTCGGACTGCATGGTCTCCAGGGACCCTCGTGAGTTGCACGTTTCTGCACTGAGGACTGCAAATCTCCGTCACTCCTAGGATTTGCGGTGATCTGGATACTGGAGGCTTGCAAGCTACGCTCGCCCGCCCCTGGGCAGGCACTCGCCCGGACCACTGGAGTGTGCCGCTGACTGGCAGGCCAGCTCTTCGCCTCTCCATGAGCCCGTGAGCCTGCGGGCAGGTGGCCGGTGATGGCGCGGCCCGTGAGCGACAGGACCCCGGCCCCCCTGCTGCTGGGTGGCCCAGCCGGGGCCCCCCCTGGCGGGGGAGCGCTGCTTGGGCTGCGGAGCCTTCTGCAGGGGACCAGCAAACCCAAAGAGCCAGCCAGCTGTGAGTTCTAGCCCCCATCTATCCCAACCCAGACACCCTACTCCCTTAGGGATTCAAGTGCTGGGGCGGGGGGGGGCTATCTCCTACGTGCCGAGAGAGTCCATCCTCTAGCCGTCATCTACCGAATTACTAAGGTGTTTAGGCCCCTAGATCCCTCAGCACCCAGGATCCAAAAGTACCGGCGCTCAAGCCCGTCCACCAGGAGGACCCAGGAGTCCCCCAGAGTCGTCCTCTCCGAGGACCCAAGAGTCTGGACCCCAGCCCCCGCTCCTTTGGTCCTGAGAGTCTGGACCCCTGGGGTCCAGGGAGGAGGGAGGGGGTGTGTCGGATGCTCACACGGTAGTGACACGGGCTTGGGCGGGGCCTCCTGGGGTCACATGGAGTCTAGGGATGAGGAATGTGCCCCAGGAATAGAGCCCCTTCCTGCCCCTAACAGAGTGTGGGGGTGGGGAGAAGAGGCTACAGTGAGCAGGGGGATAGGCTACAGAGAAATTACAGAACTGTCATTTTTTTCCCTCTCACCTACCTCTCTCTGAACTTCCGTCCCCCTTCTGTATCTCTATCCCTTCCCTGGTTTGTGTCCTATCCCTCCCTGGGCCCCTATCCTCCCCTCTTTCTGAGTCTCTGTCCCTCTCTCGGTCTCTGTCCCCCTCTCTGTCTCTGCCACCTCCGTCTGTGCCTTCTCTCTCTGGGTCTCTTTCTCTCTCTTGAGTCTCTGTCTCTTCTCTTTGGGTCCTTGCCTTCTCTCCTGTCTCTCCCCCCCCCCCCGCCCCGCGCCTGTCCCCTCTTTCTCTGGATCTCCGCCCTGTGGGTCTCTATCTCCCCTTTCTTCGTGTATCTCTGTCTCGGGGTCCCTTCTCCATCTCTTCCTTCCCACCCCGCCCGGTCTTTCCTTGGCCCGCAGGTCTCCTGAAGGAAAAGGAGCGCAAGGCGGCTCCGCCGGCAGCCACGGTCCCCGGGCCTGGCCTGGAGACGGCGGGCCCGGCGGATGCCCCAGCTGGGGCTGTGGTGGGCGGCGGGTCCCCGCGGGGGCGCCCGGGGGCCGCGCCTGGCCCGGGTCTGTTGGCGCCGCTGCTGTGGGAGCGGACGCTGCCGTTCGGCGACGTGGAGTACGTGGACCTGGACGCCTTCTTGCTGGAGCACGGGCTCCCGCCCAGCCCGCCGCCCCCCGGCGGCCCGTCACCGGCGCCCTCGCCCGTGCGCACGCCCGCACCCTCCCCGGGGCCCGGCTCCTGCGGCTCAGCTTCCCCTCGTTCCTCCCCGGGGCACGCCCCCACCCGGGCTGCCCTCGGGGCCGCGGGCGGCCACCGCGCAGGTGCGACGGCGGGGGCGGGGCAGGGCCCTGGCGGGGCGGGGCTTGGGCTTCAGGGGCAGGGCTGTGCGGCACTTGGGCCCGGGACGGTGGGGCTGGGGTTGTGCGTCCAAATTCTGGGTCCACCTAGGCGCGAGATGTTGGGAGAGGAGTCCGGATTCTTTGTCACCTAATGCATCAGGGACTGGGGCGCCCTGTGGGGCGGTAGTGTGGACTTTTCTGTGGGACGTGGGGACAGAGGGTCCGGATACTCGAGGAGCCGGGATTGGAATCCCAGAACACGGGAATTATTTACTGGGAAATGAACTGCGCTCCAGAGTCTGGGGCCGGAGTCGGTGGAGTGGGGAAGGACCGTAGCTGCTAGGCCCTCTGCAGGGGAGAAAGCAAGGACGGGGCACAGACTTCTGTTTCACCAGGACATAAGAGATTGGCAGCCCTAGTTGCTGGGTCCTCCAGTGGAGAGGAGCTAGAGCCGGCAGTCCCGGAGTCCTCTAGAGGGGAAAAGGTCGGGGATCTTCATTCTGGGTCTTCCGTTGGGGCGAGGACCGAGAGCTTCCTATGTTCCTGGGAGAGGAGGGGCCTGGGATCCCAGAATCCTGTGTGTCTCAGTGGCGAGGGAGAAAGTCCAGGGGTCCGTTTGTCAGCGTGCCTCCCAGAGAGCAGGAGGGACTGGACCTTTGGAAATTGAGAGGTTCGAGCTGAGAGACCCCAGGGAGCAAAAGGAAAAGTGTGCTCCCTCGGGCACTTGGGGGTCTCCACGGGCGGACTGCAGGTTGGGGATTCTGGGACACACCTGCCCCTGGCCGGACCTCCGGGCAGAACCAGGGCCCTCCCCTTCCCAGCCGCACATTCCCGCGCCACGTGAGTCCTCTCCTCCCTCCTCCCTGCTGCTCATTTCGCGCACGCGTGGTCACGCGGAGGGGGCGGGGCCTGGGGAACTAGAGGGCGCCCGTGGCGGCGGGGGGCGGGGCGGGAAAGCAGGCGCCCGCACGTGACTGGCCCTGAACCCGTATCCTCAGCTGACCCCGGCTTGTTCGCTCTTAAAGGCACCGGCCGGCCCTGCCCCTTCTCCTGAACCAACCTCCCCAAAACCGCAATCATTTCTGCTTTTCTTCCCTTACTCGTCAGGGCCAGTAGCTCTTAAGCGGCTCACCTGAAGTCTTTTCAGTGCACTGGATTTCTTTTCCCTGAACAGCTTGGGGTCTAGGCTTTGGTCAGGGATTCAGGCTAGATAATGGGAAAGGAGCTAACGCTGTGAATCTGAAGGCCTGAGGTTCCAGAAGCAATAGAGGAGGCTCGTGTGTTACTTAGGGTATGTCAGTTATAATTGGGCCTGTTTTCCTGTTATAAAAGTGGAATTGGTTCCATGATGTCTAAGCACGTTGTAGCTTAGAGAACCTTCGTATTTTATATTAGAGAGGTTGATCTCTGGCGGGCTTTGTAGTAGGTCTCATAAGGGCCTTCCTTGTGGTCGAAGAGATACCTGAGCAGGGGGTAGCCTCTGGGAACCCTCCCTCCCCCAAAGAAATACACACTCAAGCGGCACATTCTGTTTCCCCAAGGCCTGACCTCTCGGGACACACCCAGCCCGGTGGACCCAGACACCGTGGAGGTGCTGATGACATTTGAACCTGACCCAGCCGATTTAGCCCTGTCAAGCATTCCTGGCCACGAGACCTTTGACCCTCGGAGACATCGCTTCTCAGAGGAGGAGCTTAAGCCCCAGCCCATCATGAAGAAGGCCCGGAAGATCCAGGTGCCAGAGGAGCAGAAGGTGAGCACTGCCCGATGTAGGATGCAGGCATGGCCCTTACAGGTCCCACAGCCGGGGATGGCCCTTTCCTCACAGACAGGCCTGGGCTTCTCACCGCGGTTAGCTCTCAGGTTCTCTTAACCTGCAGCCAAGCATCAGTTGTCCATAGCCCTGGGGCGCAAAGACAGCCGAGGTTTGGGCTTGAGATTTACGAATATGGTGTCGCTGTGGAATGCAGACTCAGCCAGCCCTGCCAGACCCACCAGTACAGACTTGGTGCTTTGACCAGGCCCTGTTGCTAAGGACAGCATCCATTAAGAGCAGTATCAGTCTGTTTCTTCAGAGCCGCTAGCCGGGCTGGGGCTGGTCCTTTGATCTCTGACTTGGGGCATCCTTCGGGGTGCTTGCATCTGCCTAGGATGCAGACTTTGCCAGCCCCTCTGGGCCTTGTTTTCTGGGCCTGGGCTGCTCATTGGTAAGAGGTTTCAAGTTCCCATTAGCAACCAGAGCCACATTCTGATTTGGGGCAGTGACCTTTTTTTTTTTTTTTTCTAGCAGCCTGCCTTTGCCAGTTCTGGGGTCTCCCCTGGTAAGGGGTGCCTGGGCTCCTCTCACCAGACTTCACCATAACTACCTGAAGCACTGAGGGCTGACCTGTAAACCCAGTCTAGACCAGTGGTTTCTCCTGTCACAGGGCCCGACTGGATTTACCCTAGTAAGCAGGAACTAGGCTTTAATGAAATGGGGGTGGGAGGAGAGCATCTTTTGGAGCTCTGGGTGGTCCTGGTTACTGAGGAGTGATCCTCCTCCACAGTCAAATTCTAGGACTGGAGGACCCTAAACAGTGGTGTGGGGAGGTCTCAGGATAGGCCCCTTTGCTACGGGACAGCTCTTCTAGCAGTCAGGACCTGTGGGGGAGAAGGCAGCTCTCTGGCCTCCTCCATTCAAGGCCAGAGGGTCAAAGACTGGCTGCAGTTATCGGGACCACCTAAATTGCTGGGGAAGGATGAGGTTGCCTTGACAACTAGGTCAAAAGGCCCCAGCTCTGGAAGGATTTATGGGACACAAAACCCCATCACTAGGGAGCCTAGGCTTTCCTTAGCAACCAGGATCTGAGAAGGTGGTGCATAAGGCAGTGCTTTTTACTGGGAGAAGCCCTCAGACCCTGAAGGCCCTGTTGCTAGGGAACAAGCATCCTTAGCAACCAGGGGCTAACTGTAGGCCCTTTGTCAAGCAAGGACTGGTGGGGTCTGCTTTGCACAGCGGAGACTTGAAGCCTAGTGCTTGGAGTGGGGAGAACTATGTCACACCTAGCTGTTGCTAGGGGCCTGCTCTCCTTAGCAACCAGACCCTTGGGTACCCATCCTAGGAGAGCCGTGGTATCCTTTGGGCCCCACTGCTGGGCAGGAAGCACCCCAGAGGGTCTCTTAGCTGCCCTCTGGTCCTTGAAGGCACAAGGAAAGCTGCTCCTCCTGGCCCTTCTGGCCCATAGTGCCTTCTCAAACCCCACCCTCAGGACGAGAAGTATTGGAGCCGGCGGTACAAGAATAACGAGGCAGCCAAGAGGTCCCGAGATGCCCGGCGGCTCAAGGAGAACCAGATATCGGTACGGGCGGCCTTCCTGGAGAAGGAGAACGCCCTGCTGCGGCAGGAAGTGGTGGCCGTGCGCCAGGAGCTGTCCCACTACCGCGCCGTGCTGTCCCGATACCAGGCCCAGCACGGAGCCCTGTGAGGCCGTCCCCCGCCCCTGCCCGGCGGCCTCGCTCAGACTTGCGCCCTGAGGCCCTCTTCCCTCCCCGCCCTGTGGCCCACCGGCCGGCCAGCTGGGTGCCCCAGGGACGTGATGATGCAGATAAATACATTTATATTTTTAAGAAAAAGCGAGCCTCCCCCCTCCCTCGCGGGGGCGGGGAGGGTCCTCTGTGTGTGCCCCTACCACTTCGGGGACCCCATCCTCCCACCGCCTCCGTTAACACATCCTGAATAAATCTTGAGAACCCCAGAGCCAGCTGTTGTGGGGGAGGAGGCAGCTCCCTGGCCCCAGTTCAAGGCCCTCGGGTCACACTGGCCGCGGTCTGTGGGCAGGTCTGGGCTTCGGTCCATAAAACGCAGGAGCTCCTGGAAGCGCCTAGAATTGGATCCCTCCCACGGGCTGCCGGATGCAGAAGGGGCGACGGTCTGAGGAATGAAGCGACTGCCTTTATTGCATAGACCTTTTCAATTGCTTTGAAGATTGGGGTCAGGGGACGCACAAGAGACAGAAGACGGGAGAAATGAGTTTCCTCGTCCCCACCGGCGGGGGGGTGGGAGGAACATTAGTGCAAATCCGAGCGTCGGCCCCGGGGAACCTGCCCCTCCTGGGCTGATTGGCCAGTTAAGTGGAGGCACCGGAGTGGGTAGGGCGAGACCCGGGCCCTGACTGGCCAATTAACTAAGGCCTCCCCGGCCGGTACATGCCAGGTCCCGTCACTGGACAACGCGTAAGACAGTCTCCGCCCTCAGCGGACCTGGCCTCCCACGAGCCGGAAGCGAGGGTCTGGACCGAGCTCCGCCCTCATTAGGCACTACCCTCGGGGCCAGCCCGTTTGTCGGTGACCATGATGACCCCGACCCCCTGGAGTTCGGGCCACACTCCTTCCCACATTACCTCTGGTCCCCTGGGGGCCGGCGCAATCCTGAAACGGGGCAGGGGTCCCTGCGTGTGGGGCCTTCACCCTAACTCTAGCAGCCAGGCCCCGCCCCCTCGGAATGCTGGCCCCGCCCCCGGCGGGCAGCAAGCTCCCTTAGGGTCAAGGCTCCTGGCCCGGGCGGCCCGGAGGCCCAGTGAGCAGGGTGCCGAGGCCTGGATGCACCTGCGCCTGCAGTGGCCCATACTCCACTTGCTCTCCGTCCACAGTGAGCACGCCGCGAGGCGTGAGAGGCTCGAGGCGAAAGGCACGGGCCGCGGCGTAGCCCAGCTGCGGGCAGCCCAGGCTGAAGTGGCTGCCTCGCTCCATGGCCAGAAAAAGGCGCAGCAGCGCCGCCCGCGAGATGCCACCGCGCACCCAGCAGAGGTGCACCAGGCCGTCGTCAAAGCGCGCATGGGGAGCTGCCACCAGGTCAGCGCCCAGGTGGCTGGGTGAGATGGCCAACATAAGCACAAAGTCCCCCTCAAGCGTCACCCACCCCGGGGGCAGTGGGGCGCCCAGAGGTGGGAGCAGGTGGTCAGGTGGGCCCCCGGTAGCGAGGTCTCCCAGGGCATCAGGGGTGGGAGGTGGGAGCCCAGAGGAGGCTGGCATTTCTGGGACCCCCTCGGTGATGGGTGACAGTAGAGCCTTAGGGGAGCTAGGTGGTGAGGGCAGCAGGGGGTCTGGGGACAGTGGGGCATCCCCAGCCCCACCCCAGTCCCCGACCAACTCTGGGCCCCCCCCATTGAGGGACAGGATGGGCAGGGGCTCAGGTGAGCCGGGGGAGGTCAGGGCAGGCTGGGGCAGGGGCAGAGGCAGGTCAGACACTGAGCGATGCAGGGGTGAGTGTGTCACAGGCGGGGCCGGGGCCGGGGCCGGGGCCAGGGTCAGCTCGGACTTGGCACGGGGCAGGCCGTGGGCAGGGGTGGGGGAGGCAGGTTCCACAGCGGCAGGGAGGTAGGAGAGGCGTCCGCGGTAGGTGTGCAGGGTGGCAAGGCCCAGCACCGTGCCCACTGTGAAGCGGGCACTGCCCAGGGCCCTGAAGCGCTCGCTCTGGATGTCCACGTCTGACACGAAGCCCCAGGCCACAGACAGGAAGGAGAAACAGCGGGAGCCCGAGGCCAGCGTCACAGAGAGCAGGTCCAGCGGGCGGCTGCCCCCCCGGCAGAGGAGCAGCGAGCAGTTGAGCAGCAGGTCGACACCCAGGGCAGGTTCAAACCTTCACAGCCAGAGACAGACGGACAGGGAGGGAAAGAGTAAACAGGGTGGCGTGAGAGACCCAGAGCGCAGGGTGGCAGGAGAAAGACACAGAAAGGTGGGGGTGCAGACAGCAGGGGGACCACATGGCCACCTCCGGATGGACTCTTCCTACTGAGCCAGGTTCCCTGTCCGCTCGCTCATCCATAAGCATTCACTCAGTGCCGCCTGTGGGCCAGGCACGGTTCTGGGCACTAGGGATACAGCCGGGGGGAGGGGCGGCGTGGGGAGCATCCCAGCCAAGACTGATGGACTTGACTGACCGTGGACTGCCCGGGGGAGACGTGCGGATAGACGTGCCAGGTTGCAGGAGGGCTCATCCCTCCCCTCACGGTAAGCAGGCTGGCGGAGGCGGGACCCCACCTACCCCCCGTGCTGGTTCACAGCTCCAGCCAGGGCATTGCCTGAGCCACAAGGGAGGATGCCCACGGGTGTCTTCACAGCTTCTTCCCAGTCAGGGCGGTCTAGGAGTCCGTTCAGCACCTGCAGGGCGGGACACCGGCCACCTGGGTCCTGGTCCTAGCGCCAGGCTCGAGAGTCCCCCAGGGCTCAGGTAGGGTGCCCCTGCCCTACCTCGAAGAGCAGCCCGTCTCCCGAGACTGTGACAATGCCGTCCCACTCACTCAGGCTCAGCCCCTGAACCAGCTCCCGGGCGTGGTTCTGCCGTTCTAACGTGGGGGAACCAGGAGGTGAGCCAGGCTGTTCCACTCTGCCCCGCCACCACTCCCCAGCACTCAGAACTCGGGAGTCCTGGCACCCCCGGGCCCCTACTTCCATCCTGGCATGGCCCTTACCTGTCTGGATGAGGTTGAAGGACAGCCCGGCTTCAGAGATCATGGGCAGCACGTGGTTCTTACACCACTGCCAGGCCAGACCCCGCCCCCCGTAGGGATTGACCAATAGGAGCAATCGGGGTGGCCTTGGCAGCAGCTCCAGGGTTATTTCTGCAAAGAGAGGGGAAAGAGTCTACAGAGGCCCCAGACCCGGGCCCCTCACCTCAGAAGCCGGAACTGCAAACAGCCCCCAGTGGAGGTGCTGGAGGCCTGGCACAGTGGCCTGCTGGGAATTCACAGTTTTTCTCCAGGGCTTCAGCTGCCCAGGCTCAGGTGTGCAGCCCTGCCCCGCTCTTGAGGGTCCGAGACAAAGGCAGGGCTTGGTGTCTAATCCCAGTGCCCTTTGGACCCATTTGTGGGAAGAGGGAGACCTGTGGGTTCCACTTTATCCTCAAACACCTGGAATCCAGGATCAGGTTACGACACTGCAAGGCTCCCTCACTGTCACCATCCCTTAGGGCCCCCAACCAGCCAGCAGGATCCTGGAAGACCAAGGGAGGCTCACCAGATGCGGACCCGTGAACCTTTACCTTCCTGTGCCAAAGGAGGAGCCTGGGTGGGGACCTCTGCCCAAAAGCCTTCTCTGACTCCACCCCCCCCCGTCTTAGGCTGGATTAGATGCCACCTCTGAGCTCCTGGCACGCCCTAGGGGACTTCTGTGAGTGCCTGTCACCCTGGGTGGTGACTAATCATGTCTCAGTCTGCTGCTCGCACCAGACGGGGAGCCTCTGACTCATCTGTGTGGTCAGGGCCCATGGAAGCGGGGGAGGGGACAGAGACAAAAATCTATGAGCAGACACAAATAATTTTTCTCTGCCTGTGGTTGCTCTTCCTTCTGTAGCCCATCGCCATGTGTCTAGCCCTCTTTCAATACGGACCAAGACAGACATATCACAGACAGACACACAGGAGAGAAGAGACACAGGTGTCCACAGAGGGAAATCCACAGAGACGCCAAGGTGGCCCTAGGACAGAGCGGCTGTGTAGTGCCTCACCCCCGTCCCCAGGCAGTGGCAGTCCACGGAGCAGACACATAAGGGCAGTGGCCCAGCGCTGGGCCTCAGTGCGGTTCTCCTCGTAGGTGGCTGCCCCGTCGGCCCGAAAGGTGCGGGCAGCTCTGCGGCGGCCCCCACGCCGGCCCTGTGGGTAGGTGTAGATGCAGAAGTAGGCTGCCGAGTCGGAGGGGTTGCGGCTCCGCAGGGTGCAGCAGCCTGAGACCTCGGCCAGCGGGACCAGGCCGCCCCGGGGCCGGGCTTCGGGCTTCGGGCGTAGCCGCTGTATGTGTAGGGCCTGTGGTGTGAGAGTGAGGGCTAAGCGGGATCCCCGGGCCGGGTAGGAGCCGAACTCGCCATGCAGGAGCGGGGTGCTGGCGGCCAATGGTGGCGGCGGTGGGGGGGCCATGGCCTCGGCCCTGTCCAGGGCGCTTCTAGGCCTGTGGCCCCAGCTGCAGGTCAGCTCCTGGTCTGGCCTCTGTGGGGAGGGAGGAGGGCAGGAGTCAGAGTCCAAGACTCCTGTGGCAGGTAGAGAGAAGCAGGGGCAGGGCCTGTGGACAGGAGACAACAAGGAGCAGTGACAGGCAAGATGGGGGCATCAGAGACAGACAGGCTCAGACAAGTGTGGGGAGACCCTGAGGACACGGGGCACAAGCCCATTATACAGGAAGGCCAGCATCCTGGAGGGTGGACAGCCAGGCATGCAAACGTTCATTCATTTATTCCCCAAATAATTACTCAGTACCCTCTAT